ATTTTGAATTTCAGATTTTCTTGGATTTGAGGGAGAGATTATTTGCCATTAAAATCTCCCTAAATTAGGTTAGAGAGAGGGGCGGCTATTAGGGGGGGATTAAGAGGTTAATTAGTGGATGCTTAGGTGGCAAGTGGAGAGAGAAAAGGTTTGATGGGGTGGCCGGCCAAGCAAGGAGGAGAGAGAGGGAATTTGGGTAATTGGTGGGGCCCAAGGAATTAATTAAAATCTGATTTTAAATTTCAGATTTTAATTAATTAGGAAAGCTTCAATTGAGGGAGAGGGGGGGGAAATTTGAATTTGAATTCAAATAGATTAAACCTCAATTAACTATCTTGCCTATTTGAGATGACAATTTAGGAAGGACTTAATGAGGGCTTAATTGCTGAAACTCAAATTTCACGGGAGAAAAAAAAGGGGGGGCGACGGGATTGCTCAAACATTAAGCTCATACAATAGGAGGAGACCTCTTTATAAAGGCCTCATCAACAGAAAATAACATGACTCAAATGCCCACCGGGCTACAACAAAGACTAAACCTTCATAAGGGCAAAATAGTAAACTAAGGCTTGAAATAAAAGATACATAGAAAATAACATAAGATGACATGGAAACATCAGAAATATAATCTCCTAATCGTAGCCATCGATCTACGATTCCTTCGCCAGTAGACCTGCCTAAAATGTTTGTCGATGACCTCATCAAGTCCTCTTTTCCTTATGTCCGTAGTTAAGGGTTTTTTTAGGTTCTGGTCTTTTTATTTGTATGGTGAGCTTTAATGGCATTTATGGGTGCAGTTTCCCTATTTTTTGTTGAGCCGCTTGGCCGTTTCCGGGTGGAGCCTTTTGGGTTTCTTCCTTTGGGGGGTTGGCAGGTTCTTGTGGTGTTTAAGTTGTTGCTTATCTTTTTTTGTGCTGTGGGTCTTTAGCTTCTCTTTTTGCTGGTGGGGGAGTTTGTTTTTTCTTAGTTTGCGGGATTGGTGGTTCTGGTTACCTGATCTGGGGATTTCGGTCTGCTTTGGTTGGTGGTGGAGGCTGTTCTTTGGGGGTTCTCTGTTTTGCCGTTTCTTTGGTGATGTTGGCCTGGGCTATTGGTGTGGGAGGTTGAGGCGTCCTGGCAGCTGTGAGGCTATTGTGATTTGCTTGGTAGCTGGCTGTTGGGCTTTGGTTGGTTTTTATTGTATTATTATGTACATTTGTATTGGTTTTGTTGTTCTGTGGTGGACAACCTTTTTTAATATGCTCTTTAGGCATTGGAATTCTGGCAGTGGGGCTTTGGAGTGTCGGGTTGGGGTTGTTTCTGCTATGCTGGTGGCCTTCAAGGTGATTTGGGTGCTTGGCTTGGGTTGGGCCTTTTCCTGCTGTGTTGGGAGTTTATGTCTGCTGAGGTATTTGGTTTGCAGGTGGAGCTTCCAAGGGTCTTCCCGTGCGATTCTCTTGATTTTATCTTCTGATTGTGATGTGGCTGCTGACAGGTTACATTATAGGCTTTTTTGTTGGTTTATCCTTTTCTATTTGTTTTATGTTTTTTTCTCTATTTTGCAAGAGCATTTTTGTGTTGGCTTCAGCTCTTTACATTTTTGGACCAGGGAGCTCGTGCTGAAAGGTTTTGTGGGTGGCTTCCCTATTTTTTGGGTGCGCGTTCTAGTGCATCGTAGAATGTACCTAGGTTGTTCTGTATTTTTGAGAAACAAGGACCTTGAGCTTTTAGGGTTTTTCTTTTTTTGTCTTTTCTCTTGTAACTCGTTTGAGCAGTAGTAAAGCTCAAGGTCCCTTTAAGGAACTTATAATTTTTATTTATATCAACGCGTAGGCCTCTTCGTGGGTTTCTCTTAAAAAAAATATACATACAGACACACACAATACAAGATAAACTCAGAAATGAAAGAAATAAATCTGCTATAAAATTGAGATGAACCAATTTGGTATGCCGCATCAGAACTGATTCAAAACCAAATTTCAGAACAAATTTGTTGTTTTTCCATCTTCATCCAAAGTACAGGAGTTCAACTATATTTTCTTTCTCTTTGTCATTTGGTTGAAATATTAAATGCTTTGTTTTCTTAATTCTCTCGTCCTTTTTACAAGTCGCTATCCAAAAGAGCAAATGAATTGAGGAAGTAAATATATTTCCATACATGCTAATATAGGGAACTCGCAAGTACCAAGCATGTTCACCCTTGATAAATTCGATCAACAGACTCACACACTCAAAATAAGCCTAGCTAGCTCATACTATAGGAGCTCATCCACAAGGAGTCCAATTACAGATGCACATTTTGCAAGAGAGTTCGACCGAAGAACTCGCATTAGCAAACCTTCACTTGAAGAAGCACCCGCCTTATGAGAACTCAACTCTTTCAGTAGTTCTCCCTAGTCAAGGCCACCTGACTTCCATAGATATTCCCGTCCAAGCTATAGGAATGACAAACCCACAAAGCCCATATTCATGGTTATATAAATTGCGTTCGCCCGCATTTCATAACCACACTTGCCTAAAAGACTCATCTCTAACCCAGAGAGACTCACCACTCATCCAAGGCCTTTTCTGATGCAGGACTACAATGCTTTTAAATGAATGCGATAAGAACTTGCACGATTTTAAAAGGAAAAAGAACAATTAAGACTATTTGCTATTAAACAAAAATAGAAAACGTAAGAGGGGTAACGACACTTAGGCCAAATCACATGCTAAGCATTTGAATTATCAAAACAATATAGAATTTCAACAACATGCGAATTAAGTAGTTATTCGACAAAAATCCCTAATCTAACAACGAGATAAGCATCATAGAAAGTACACTCAAATCCTACATTTACTAAGCAGAGGCAGGAGGCAAGGCACGAGAACCTTGTGATTAAGTCATCACCTACAAGGTTAGTGGACTAGAAAAATAAATGAAGAGGGAAGAAGTTCACCCTTGTTGTTGTCTCGAGACAATTTGCCACGGGACGTTGGCAAGTTGCTCGTCGATGGCCTCCGAAAGCGTGAACATGATGCAGTCCACGTATTCTTCAATGGAATGATCGATCTCTAGGTTGAAGTCGAAGGTGGAGTGGAGGATGTTGATGTTCCCTTGTTCGTCGTAAGCGAATCCATAGTCAAGCTCCGGATCGGCCATTCATTGGTGTCAAAGGGTTGATGTGTGGATGAAGATCGTGGTGGCGTTCCTTGAAGAAGTCCTTAGAGAGAAAGAAGTTTCTGTCGAGCGTTGATGTGGAGAAAAGGGCAAGGGTGGCAGGCCAATGAAGGAGAGTAGGGGATTAAATTAAGTTCAAATTTTGTGGAGGGAAAAGAACTCAAACAACTCCTTAATTAATTCCCTTGATTGCAAGGAATTAATAATGGAGAAGAGAGAGAGGGGGGCGGTCAAGAGAGGGGAAAGGGATTTATTTTACTTCCAAAAGGAGAGGTTCTCTCTTGGAAAGAAAATAAATGAGTGGGGACTAGGGGAATTTCGGCCAAGAGAGGTGGGGAGGGAGTTTGAGTTATTACCAAGAGGAGAGGTTGGCTTTTAGGAAATAATTCCTAATGCAAACCCATAGGGGGCCGCAGCAATAAAGGGATGGAGGGATTTAATGAAGCAATCAATGCTTACCTAAATTAATGAATTGAGTTTGGAAGGAAAGATCTCATCCCAATTTAATTCAAAATTTAAATAGGCTATGATTTAGTAAGTTTCCTAAAATAGAATTTATAAATTAGGTAACTATTTTAAATTCAAATTGATTTGAATTTGATCATTAATAGAGTCACCAAAATTATGAAATCTAATTTGGGAAAGACTTGGTGGCAAGTGGAGATGGGGGTAAAAAGCCAAGGGGATGGGCCAGTGGTGGAGGTTGGCCGTGGATGGGGTGGGGTTGGATCTAGGTGGCGGGTGGTGGTGGGGATTTAGGTGGCCTGTGGCTTAGGGATTCGGGAAGACTATAGGTCGGCGGCTAAGGGATGAAGGAAGAGGAAAAGAGATAGTGAAGAAGAACCACGAACCCGACCGTCTCCAAGGTTGGTGGTTGATCTGACTTCCCTCTCCTAGGGATTTCTCCAAGACTCACAAACTCTCATATCAAGAGAACAATACTCAAAAAATTTCTTTCATATTCATCATTAAGCATGAAAAAAGAACATAAGGGCTATATATAGCCTCATACAAAGGACTCCAAAAATAAAAGACAACAATGTCATTTGGGCTTACACGTGATCTCCCTTTAATAAGGGTTAAAAGTGAAAAATAACAAAAGCAAATACAAACATAGAATAATAAAAGACAAATACATAATATGACTAAAAAATACATCGACTAGATCGTGGCCGTAGATCGACAGCCACGTCTCTGATAGACTTTGCAAGCTCTGACGCCCCCATTATTTTCCTTCACGAACTAGCCAAGGTGGTCATCCTGAATCTCCTTCGAGGCACTCAACCCTAAGGACTCACCGCCCACACAATGCACTCGCCAAATATATTTCGAGCCACATGTCCATGTGCACACATTTTATCCAAGTCCACGTGTCTATGCCAGACAATGCATTCCCAATCATATGTTATTTCTCTAGTTTTTCTAAGTGTAAACTTTCATGTAGCCCGCTTGACCCTACAAATAAAATATCAAGAGGCATATTTTGAACTTAATGCCATTTCTACTATTGTCAAGGGTTAGATTTCCTATTTGCTCTACATTCACACTTATTCTCTCTCATGTCCCCTTGCTCTACATAATCAGACTTGTTAGTACAGTGAAGCCCATGGACAAATTTAAATCAAACAAGGTGGACTCTTGATTTTCAAAAGCCATATCATTGTATTAGAAAATTTATTGTGGTTTCTACAAATGTCACATTCTGAAGTACACTGAAGCACAACAAATAATTTATTGAACATGAAGAAAATGCAAGAATTAAGCTAATTATAAGTTATATTAAGGAATCATGTTTAGATTGTCAGCTAATTTACAAAGTGATAAGAAGAACTTTTCTAGACAAATTCAAACTAGGAACAACCTGCAAATGTGCTGATCGGAGATCTGATTCAGAGAAGCTACATCCAACCAAGCATGCATCTGCAGCACCAAGAATAGTAGCTACATAAGCATGAAAAGGTCAAAAGCTGCATTCAACTTTGAATCTTTGCATAGCAGTCAAAAGACAATAATAGAAAATTCTAATTTTAGCTTTGTGACACAACACTGTTGGCATATTGATGTCTGGTATAACTCGTTAGAGATCATTGGAGATGCCAACTTTTGTTGACAATCTATATCATAAAAGTTTTATCAGACAAAAAATCGCAAAGTTTCTTATTTAGGTGAGCTACAAGCTGCTTTATCACATCTTTATTTACACTCAAAAAAGGTTAACAAATTAGTTGGACTTTAAAATTGGGAAAGAAACTATAAATAAAGCTATGCCATCAAGAAGCAGCTGAGATATGTTAATAAATTTTCATATCTAGGCACACCTGCAAAAGATATTATTTAAAAAGAAGAGCATTAACGGAATCCTATGAATTGTAAAATTAAAATTATCAGATATGATAGAATTTTTAAAGGAAATCTCTATATCAATAGATAACTGACAAAATCCAGTAGCGAAAAGAAATGTAGATTTAAAGGATCTTATCAGACCTAAAATATAAATTATCTAGCAATCAAATAAAACTTAAAGATAAATGAAACAAACCATCAATATCAAGACTGGCAAAGCAACTACCTTGTAGATTTGCACTCTGGAGGTTAGCTCCATCTAACACCGCCCCGGTAAGGTTTGCCCCGATAAACTCACATCTTTAGACAGCAAAAGATAAAATTGCTGCCGTTAAAAACCATGACCTCAAATTATGAAGTGAAATAATATAACGCTAAAAGAACAAACTAAAAGCAGCTATCAAATAGCGCATATATATATATATATATATAGAAAGCTATTCTCAAACATTTTATTAATTCAGAGAAGGGCATATGACCAATTACAGATAAGTAGAAACAAGGCCAATTGCATATAATAGTTGCACTTAGTTACATAATGAATTTTAATGTTGGAAGCTAGTGAATATTTAATTTTAAAGTCACATAATGGGCTTGAATCCGTGACCTTAACCATAGAGCTATGGAGTATATTGCTTGAGCTAGAACTTATTGGTGACATAGGCAATACAAGCGCACACACATGCTATACACACACACCCCAAAAAAACTTAAGCTCAAGTGGCAGCTCGTTGGTTTAGAGGATAGTGGTTAGAGTTTGAATCTAAGTTTATGACCTTTTTAAAATTAAATAATCATTTACACCTTTCGTAAAATTTGACATTTAACTAGCCTCATGTCTACTTTCAATTAATAAAATATTTGAGAATAGATGTGTTCTCAAATATTTTATTAACAAAATATTCCAAATTTTTTAATAAATAAAATATTTTGTAGAATTTGATCTATTCTCAAATATTTTATTAATTGAAAATAGAGCATGAGATCAATTATATATCAAATTCCACAGAAAGAGCTAATTAATATTTAATTAATAAAAGACCATAAGCTAGATTCAAACCTCTAATCACTATCTTCTAAACCATAGAGCTGTCACTTGAGCTATTATTGCCTATATTCACCAAAAAGCTATAGCTCAAGTAATATACTCCATAGTTTCATGGTTAAGGTCATAGATTAAAGCCCATAATGTGACTTTTATAATAAATATCCGCTAGCTTCCAACTTTAAAATCCAATTTATACCCATGTGCAAATTTGATATATAATTGACCTTGTTTGTACTTATCTGTGACTTTGAATTAATAAAACTTTAAGAAAAATTTGTATACTTTTAAAAAAAGTATTGCAAATGTTCTTTTATTGTACTGTGGGTATGTTGGTCTTTTTTTCTGTGTAAAAATTTTTATAAATAGCCTCATTAGAGACTCTCATTAAATGTTGATGATTAATAATTCTATCAAGATTTGAAACTTACTTCGTATTCGTTATCTTAATCCCCATTATATTTATTTTCGTTTTATCACTTCTTGGCTGTTGTGTGATTCACCATTGCTGGTCGTTCCTTTTCCCTAAACATCCTTCAACCCCACTTAATCCCCTAACCTCTCCAGTCTCCACTAACACAAACCACTTTCTTCCATTTACTTTATAGAGCACCTCTAACATCGCTCTCCGCCTCATTCATCTCCATGAGATCCACATTCTCCTCTTCGTATAGTGTGTATTCCACTTCAGTAATACAGGACACCTCCACATCGCTCTCCTCAAGGAACTTTTATTAGGTCCTCTAACCGGATGTAGCTCTACGTGCGGTCATCACTGAGTTACTCGGTTTTTGCTCGGTATTTACTCGGTATTGCTTGACAATAATGAGAGATACCGCTCTGTAAAGACCAATACCGAGTAATACCAAAAAATACCGAGTTTTTTAAAAAATACCGAGTTTTTCTAGAAAAAACTCGGTATTTTTTGGTATTACTCGGTATTACTCGGTATTGCTCGGTATTTGTCTTCACATAATGATATTTCTCGTTATTGTTGGTATTGCTCAGTATTTGCTCGGTATTTCTCGTTTTGTGCCTGCTACGTGGCGCGATCTCAGTGCCGGCCGAACATAGCTCTACGTACGTTCACTGGACCGAATAAAAGTTCCTCCTCAAGAGCCTTCACTTCATTCTAGCCATTCATCTCTAGAGCAGTCAACCGGACATTTCCATCTCCTATTAACATCATCCAAATAATTCCAAAGCTATGAGAGGAATAAAGTATTACTTGCTTGCTCCAATGTACCTTTAGGAAAGCACTACACAACCTTTACTTCTGTGAAAGAGGGCGAAAAATGTACTTGAATAGTTCATTTTTTGGGTTATTAGAAATGCTTAGCTAAACGTTAACACCCCCCCCCCCCCACCAAAAAAAAAAAAGCTGCAAAAAAATAAATAAATAAAACCGCTAAGGTGGCACACAGAGCAGACATTGATTAATTGATAACATATCTTACTCGCGCAAAATTGCATCTTGAAATATTGAACCTTCTCCTTCCACATCCTATCAAAAAGATAAAATTGGTCAGTATAAAACTAAAAGAAGTAGAACCTAAAACCATTATTATAATCCGAGTATCACTTTCCCACAGCAACAAATATTCATTCACTTTGGAGACAAGGTGAAGAATACATGGCCGTATCAGCTAAGATAATCAAAACTTAACACAGTAAGAAGAAGAGAAAAAAAAAAAGACATTAGGAGGAAGAACAACACTTGTTTCGAATATTATTTGACCACAGATGCAACTTAGAAAATTGTATTACACAATTTTCAGCAAGGCTAGTGAAACAAGTTTTTGGTTAAAGAACCTACCCCAAGTTTAGCTTTATGCAGATTTGCACGTGAGAAAGTGGTCTTCCGAATGCATGCAAAACTTAGGTCTACAAATGTCAAATCCTGCAGTTTAAAGAATAAGACTTCATGTAATGTACAGCATAGACAGCATGCGTAATAGAAATCATGTTAGCTGCAAAATAAATTGTTGGCATCTCTCATCACTGCATTACAGTGAATACTAAACTAGCTCAAAGGTACCAAACAAATAATACAACTAAAAAATCCATAGAATAAAATTTAAAGGCAGTTTGGCGTGCAATGTCGGTCATACTGACCAATTCAAGGAACGAGCAATTTTCTGTCCAAAACTGATAATGCTCCAGCGTCATCATTAAAAAACCTAGACTAAAAGTTTTAAAATTACCATCTCAAACTGGAAGAAGTTTTAGAGTGTTCAATCAGCAAGTTCCATGAAAATCAAACTTTACCATACCTATAGTCAAGTTTGTCCTTTTCTCAGTAGGATGATATGCCATCTAAAGTCATTTAATAAGATAAAGGAAATTTTATTTTTAAATTTTAAATTAAAAAAAAGGAAACATGACCTACAATTTCAAATGCCAATTCAGGGCATAATTCAATCTATAATCTATTTTAATAATCATAGCTCCATTAAAAGAAAATGGCAAAGCCCCCCACAACATTAACTGAGTGTTGATGATAGCGTTAGCATATTATTTTAGGTAAGTATTATATTTATAGTTAGTAGATTATGCTTATTTCGTTGCAGCTCCAGACATTGACATTCATTTCCCCTACTAACATTAAGGGCTCCTCTTATTGAATAATATACAAGTGATTTCCTCTCTAAAATGGTATAAAAGTAGGGTTGGCCGAACTCTAGCTTCCACCCCAACTTGATTGGCCTCCCCTCCACCATGCCTGATTAACAGCCCACAAGCACTGCCCCCCTCCAATCCTCCCTCAAGCCCACTCCTCTATCATGCTTGAAGCCACTTCCTACTCACCTGTCCCTCATGCACAATCTAACATCTACCGAGTCACTCCTCTCTCATGCCGTTGCACCCTCACACACTACCACCCTTGCCACGCCTATAAGCCCTACTCATACACGACCATCTTACAAGCCCCTAGCCTGTGCTTGCACGTAGATCTGTAATTGCTTAAATCTTTCTATTCTATTTTCCTTACTTTTAGTCATGGACATTGATGATTTCCTCTACTAACCTCCTAGAGAAGAAAACCCTCATCCACTATTGATTTTGACCCCATGAGCTCATGATTTTTTAGAACTCAATTTTGATGAATAACAAATATATAACTAAAAGTTCTTAATAATTAGATTGAGTGATTTCAGGAATGAGAGAATTAGAGGATTTGGAAGATAACGCTCTTGATGCAAAATACAATGTTAGGAAGTTCTTGTAGAAATCAAGAACCCTTGGCTGAATTTTAATTTCAGCAATCCCAAACACAACTCTCAAGAAGAACTATGGGGAATAACCAGAAAAAAACTTTTTTAATTGATGATATAGAGAAGCAAAGCAAACAAGATACAACAGATATTCGATTGGAGAGGAAGATCTGGCTCTCTCAAAATCCTAGCCGCCAGCTATAGCCCAATCACCTTAAGAATAATTTAAATTCAATAAAAAAAGACATAACCCTAACCCTAGGGAAACAACTTAGAACAAACAATAATTTTCAAAATCCTCAAACAGCCCTCCTATATTGACTTTCCCTACTAACCTCCCCCATGTCTCCTATTCAAAATTGCCCTTGGGCCACACCCAAAGGGACAGGAAAACAACCCAGGCGGAAGCCTGTTTCGCCCCTTAACAAGAGGAAGCATGTTCCTCCTCAAGCAAAGGCGGTCCCTTCTGGACCGGTCTAAAAATACCCAGAAAAAAACTTTTTTAATTGATGATATAGAGAAGCAAAGCAAACAAGATACAATAGATATTCGATTGGAGAGGAAGATCTGGCTCTCTCAAAATTCTAGCCGCCAGCTATAGCCCAATCACCTTAAGAATAATCTAAATTCATTAAAAAAAGACATAACCCTAACCCTAGGGAAACAACTTAGAACAAACAATAATTTTCAAAATCCTCAAACAGCCCTCCTATATTGAATTTCCCTACTAACCTCCCCCATGTCTCCTATTCAAAATTGCCCTTGGGCCACACCCAAAGGGACAGGAAAACAACCCAGGCGGAAGCCTGTTTCGCCCCTTAACAAGAGGAAGCATGTTCCTCCTCAAGCAAAGGCGGTCCCTTCTGGACCGGTCTAAAAATACCCAGAAAAAAACTAAAAAAACCCCCCCCCCCCCCCTAAAAGACCTACCTTGTCCGCAAGGTGGAAAGACGGCTCCTTCCTCAATTTCCCATCATCACAAACGGTGCTCCGGTGTATACCCTCCTCACATCTGAAATACAACCCCTTTGCCCCCTTTTCCTATAACTCAGTTTATGTGAGCTTCTTGAAGTTTTTCCCAGGTCTCCCTCCTATAGTCTTCTCCTTCAGGGTCTCCCTAAGAATACTCGGTGTCTGCTTCTTGGATGCCAAAAAGGTGGTGAGCATCCTGTATGAACCTCCTAAGCTATTGCCTCAGGCTCCTCTCTCCAGGTGCCTCAGATCCTCTACTAATTAGGCTAGCTCCATAGTGTCTCCCAAATCACGAGACCTCATCACTCTAACAACTGTTTGAATCTCTAGTCTGAGCCCTTTCATAAAGTTTCCCTCCAGTATAGTCTCCGGAGGCCGATCTAGTTGGTTGGCCAGGTACTCAAACTGCTCACGGTACTCCACCACCGTCCCCTCATGCGTTAGAGCAAAGAACTGCTCATAGAAGTCCCCTTCCTTGCTGGTTCGAAAATGTTCCAACAAGCGGTCCTTAAACTCCCTCCAAATCTGTAGTGGTCACCTTGTATCCCTCTATTGGTACCATGCCAACGATTACACCTCCAAGCAGATCCCGACCACTGTCAGTCTCTTCTCCTCCGTCAACCAATAGACGGTAAAGCACCTTTCCACCTTATATATCCATCCATATGCATCCTCTCCCTCAAAATAAGCATCTTCAGCTTTCTCACCCTCGGATCTCCTCCGTTCCCCCAATTTCCTCCATAGTTTCCCATTCCCCAAGAGGTGATTCCCCCCAAGTGTCTCAATCTATCTCTTCTCTACACATACTACATCACAAAGCACTCAAAGTTCAAAGGCATGCCCAACATTAATAAAAGAAAGATAGAAATAATAGGACAAGGTAATTGTAAAGTTTGATAAGACCTAAATTGACTTGAAACTTACAAGTTTAGAAAGGTTTAATCCGGAAAGATTCACTCCCCTAAACCTAATTTTAGAAGACTGGATGATTTTGATTATCTCTTTTCGTGTAAGTTCGGCCTCCAAAATATCTTCACCCTTCTTCTTGCACATGTTTGACTTTATATATTTTATCAATTCCTGCAAAAGAATTATTAGAACACATGAATACAATCTAAAAAATCATAAAATTTCATCACTTCTACATCACCACAAAAAAATATTAAAGCATTATATATTTAAAAAATTAAAGAGGAAGGAGTAATATTCAAAAAAGTATATAAAAAGGAGCTTTATAATATGGGACGGAAATAAGGTAAATGAGAAATACATAGAAGATAGAAAAAACTAATTGCGAGGAATGCAACTAAAATTAGAAGATTTCTAAAAACATGAAGATCAATAAATGGAATATAAAATAAACATTACTAGCAGATTATGATTATGACAGTACTTGAGAAAATAGAAATCTAAAAAACTACTTGAAATTCTAGTATTGCTTATTCTTGTCTTTTTTTTTTTTTCTTCGACGAATGAATGATATTTATAATTTTGTGTTAGGCATGCTAAAATGCATGATTGCTTCAATTGATATGTCTCTTTTAAGAGTTCCTCTTTTCATATAACAAAATGAATGACTTATTAGGTATGTACAGAAAGTTGTGATCTATGAAGCACAAATTCCATAATTCGATCAGTATGGTAATTAGACATTAAGAAGAAGCGAAGAAGAGTGAGAATAAAGGCAAGAAAATCACATATGATAGGATTGATAAATAACTTATTAGAATAATTCATGTATCGCTCACTTTATATCAAGAAGTGAAATGAATAGTGTCACAGAAATGCTAGCAAATTGCCCAAGAAGGTTTTGTTTTTAAACAAAAAAGTTGGCATGCCAAACATTGTCCAACATTGTTAGTGGTGGCAATATCAAATGAAATTTTAAACTTTCTCAAGTCTGGGTCGTTCCAAAATTGACTAAGCCATCTTGAGTTAAATTCTGAATCCCAACCCAAAGAATTTTGAGCTAATGTTTGGCAGCATGCTTGAATTTTGGCTAATTTCAAATATTCTGCCAGCATGCTTGAATTTTGGCTTAAGCTGGCTCAAATTATCAATATTTCTATAAATATATAAATATATACATTTACCATATCCATATAAATTCATATTTAAATATTTATATAGTATTGTTTATGTGATAGCTTATGGTATGTTTTTTTTTTCTCCTTAGCAAGTTCATCTTTAATCGAGAATTCACTATCATTATGCTTAATGTGTCAAACTTAATCAATATTATTATGTTTAATGCGTCAAACTTAATCAAAAGATTTCTCATATCTTACTTCAGTTATTTTATAAATGAATTTTCTCCTCCATAGTATCAAGCCTTTTAGCATATAGCATATAAATTGGAAAAAACTTTAGTTTTTGCTTTGACCGCTACCATCTTTGCGAGACTTCTAACTTCCTAGTATTCATTATAAGCCAAAAAAGTACTTATTTTTTGCTACTACTTAAGCACATTTCTCCTTCAAAATTTTTTTATCTCCACGATGCACCCGCTGATAGACCGGCCGATTTGACTGGGAGGAAATCAAGAAGTTTCCTAATCAAGTAGAAATTGTTTAGGAAGGTTCTTAATCAAAGGGGAATTATTTAAGAATGATTAAATTATAATTAGGAGGTAATTATTTAAGCAAGAGAACTAATTTGAATTCAAAATCTAAGAGGGAATTATTTGGGAAAATGAGGAATCAAGAGGGGGTTGTTTAGGAAAGTTTTAATTATAATTCCGATAGTCTGCAGGTATGATTTTTTGGATTTTCATCTTTGTTTCTTCTGGATTTTACACAAAGGTCAACAGGATTTATTTAGGGAAAGGGGGCTAATTTGAGAGTGAATTATGAGAGCCTATTTAAGGCTAACAAAAGGGTGATTTCAGAATGTTTTTAGGAGTTTGTTGAATTTAATTTATTCTTAAGTTACTTGGGCTCTAGTTGGCGGTTAGGGATTTGAGAGAGTCAAATCTTCATCTCCACTTGAAGATCCAACTATATCTTGCTATTTTCTTTCATATATCTTGTAATAAAAATAAAATTGTTATGTTTTTCTTCCTAATTTATTATTGTAGTTTGCTGATTTCGAGGAAATTGCATCCACTTCCTATCAGGGAACTTTTTTGCGACCTATGGCGGCAAAGAAAGTTGATGCCTTGGAAGAGCATCGAAAAGGAAAAATTGGCCAATTCAAATCAGCATTTAAGGATAGAATGACATCAATGGAGGAAAATTTTTCCAACCTAGAAGAAATGGTAAGGAAACTATTGGAGCTTCACACCCAACCAAAACATCGGAGACGAGAGCACTGTTGATTGGAGTAGGAAGTGGGGGAAATCCTAATATAAGGACAATGAGGAAGGATCAGGAGGTGGAAGTTTTGGGGGAAGAAGAGGAGATGCCATCTTTGGAGCCACTTCCAATGAGGGAAAAGGGTGAAGAAGTGGGATTTTTTATGGAGCTAAAAAGTTTGGAATGAGAAGAAGATGGGGAAAAGATAGAAGCACCATACATGGTTCAGCCACTCCTACAACAGTATCGAGAGGTGTTCCAACCAGTTCAGGGGTTACCTCCTTCACAGGAATGTGAGCATGTTATCATCTTGAACGAAGAAGTCTTACCTATCAGTTTTTCGTCTGTATAGTCATCCCCAAATCTAGAATGATGAGATCGAGAGATTGATTACGGAGATGCTGGAGAAATAGATCATTCGACCCAGTGTCAATCAATTTTTTGGTTCAATGCTATTAGTTAAGTGCTTTAGTAGCAGTTTCCTTCGTTCCACCTTGAGGACAAGGTGGCACTTTGGAAGGGGAGTATCGATGGACCAGCTGATATGATTGGGAGGGAATCAAAAAATTTCCTAATCAAGAGGGAATTGTTTAGGAAGGTTCTTAATCAAAAGAAAAATATTTAGGAATATTTAAATTACAATTGGGAGGGAATTATTTAAGCAAGAGATATAATTTGAATTCAAAATCTAAGAGGGAATTATTTAGGGAAAAGATGGAGGAATTAAGGGGCAATTGTTTAGGAAAGTTTTAATTATAATTGGGAGAGAATTAATTAGGAAAATAAATCTAATTTGAATTCAAAACTGAAAGGAAATTATTTAGGGAAAGTGACTGATTTGGGAGGGAATTATGGGAGCCTATTTAAGACTAACAATATGGTGATTTCAGAATATTTTTAGGAGTTTGCTGAATTTAGTTTATTCTTATGTTATTTGGGCTCTAGCCAGCAGTGACGGATTTGGAAGAGCCGGATCTTCCTCTCCAATTGAAGATCAATCTATATCTTGTTTTTTTCTTTCACAATCTTGTAATAAAAATAGTTTTGGTGTATTTTTTTTTCTAATTTCTTATTGCGTTCACTGACTTCGAGGAAATTGCATCCACTTCCTATCAAAGTGGTATCAAAGCAATTTTTGGGACCTATGGCAACAAAGAAATTTGATGCCTTATAAGAGTGTCTTAAAGAAAAAGTTGGCCAATACAAATCGGCGTTTGAGGATAGAATGACATCAATGGAGGAATAGTTTTCCAACTTAGAAGAATTGATAAGGAAACTATTGGAGCTTCATACCCAATCGACAACATCGGAGGCGAGAGCACCGTTGATTAGACTAGAAAGTGGGGGAAACTCTAATATAGGGACGATGAGGGAGGATCGAGGGAGGTAGAAATTTTGGGGGAATAAGAGGAGATGTCATCTTTGGAGCCACTTCCAAGGAGGGCAAAGAGTGAAGGAGTGGGATCTTTGATGGAGCTGAAAAGCTGGGAAGGAGAAGAAGATGGGGAGAAGATAGAAGCACCATACATGGTTCAGTCACTCCTACAGCAATATCGAGATATGTTCCAGCCAATTCAGGGGTTACCTCCTCCATAGGAATGTGAGCATGCTATCATCTTGAAGGAAAGAGTCTCACCTATCTGTTTTCATCTGTACCGTCATCCCCAAATCTAGAATGATGAGATCGAGAGATTGATTAGGGAGATGCTGGAGAAAGGGATCATTCGACCCAATGTCAATCAATTTTTCAGTCCAATGCTATTAGTCAAGTGTTACAGTAGCAATTTTCTTCATTCCACCTTGAGGACAAGGTGACACTTTGGGAGGGGAGTATTGATGGACCGACTAATATGAATGGGAGGGAATCAAGAAGTTGTCTAATCAAGAGGGAACTGTTTAGGAAGGTTCTTAATCAAAGGTGAATTATTTAGGAATGTTTAAATTATAATTGAGAAGAAATTATTTAAGCAAGAGATCTAATTTGAATTCAAAATTTAAGAGGGAATTATTTAGGGAAAAGGAGAAATTAAGTGGGATTGTTTAGGAAAGTTTTAATTATAATTCGGAGAGAATTAATTAGGAAAATAAATCTAATTTGAATTCAAATCTGAAAGGGAATTATTTAGGGAAAGGGGGCTGATTTGGGAGGGAATTTGGGAGCCTATTTAAGGCTAACAATAGGATGATTTCAGAATATTTTTGGGAGTTTGTTGAATTTAGTTTATTCTTAGGTTATTTGGGCTCTAGCCAACGGTTAGGGATTTGGGAGAGCCAATTTTCTCGAAGATCCAACTATATCTTGCTATTTTCTTTCATATATCTTGTAATAAAAATAGTTTTGGTGTGTTTTTCTTCCTACTTTCTTATCGCCATTCACTAATTTCGAGAAAATTGCATCTACTTCCTATCAACCGCCCAGACTTTTTATGTAGAATTTCCTTTTGTACTTTCCTAAATCTTCTATAGCAATCTCTTTAATATTACTAATCAAAGTAGATTTTGACTTTACTACACTTAAACAATGAAATTACCTACTTAAATTTTGATTTCATGTATAGCTATTTGTTACAATTTTTATCAAGTTTTAAAGTTTGGTTTGATTTTCATATCAAACAGTTCTAATAGTTACAATGATTTAAAACATCTTTTTGGTTAATAGTTTCATTTCTTTTTCCTTTTTTCTTTCATTTTCTTAGATCAATATTACACAAAAATAAATTAAGTGGATAGTGAGATAGTTACTAGTAAATTGATAATTAAAATTTGAAACTTCAAGAATTATTGGATTAGATAGTGGATCTTAATGCTGAATACTGAAACTAAAAGGGCTTATTATCATCATCTTTTCTTTCCAGCATACAAAGAAAAAGAAGAAAGGCGTTGATGTCAACTTGATGTTCCCATCTCACTTGTACAGAAAATATATTGTCTTAATCCTATCTAATTCTCCATTACCTTCCTGCCTAATCTTCTCTTACCTTTCTTTATGCCTAGACTATATGCCTTTCCTTTCCTGCACTATTCTTCCTTATAAGATAGCAAAGCCATGATGTGAAGAGAGAGCAATGAAAACACCACTAAATAAGAGACCAGCGACACTAGTGATGCCATCAGCGTCTATGACAATATGATGCCTTTAGAAACAATAGCCAATGGTTGATCAAGCAACAATAACTGTAAAGAAAATGGACAAGAAAGAAGATGTTAAGGGTACAACAATATGCATAGATGAGGCAACACAAGAACAGGGTAAGAAGTGAGAATGTTATCAATAGTAACTATATGTATGCTATGTTGAGTTACACACTCACAATTTTCTCATCCTACCAAGTATAAGTGGGATCAGCATGATTTCAATTGAAACACTCTTAAACCTATTGATTTGTTCTAAACTAGTGGAACTGCCTAAATGGATCACACCTTGTAAAACATAAACTTTTCTACCCACATATCTACTTCAAATTGCTATAAATAAAGTTATTGCTTCATTTTTTTTTATAGAAAAACAAAATTAATATGAACATGCTACTAAAATCTTTCTTAAACGCAAATTTAACACTACACTTAAGAAAATGAGCTATCAAACCCATGTATTTGCATCTTCCGGTGTGCCCTCCTTGAGAATTTAATGAAAGAAAAATATGGGCTGGGGTTTTGTAGTGCCACGAAATTTGGGCGGTATTATTGTAAATGAAAGTAGCTGATGATATTTTGTTAATGTACAAAATTTTAGTGCTACACATGTATTGTTCTATGTTTTACAAAGAATATTCAACCATATTTATGTCCAATCTTGATAATAAGCTAAAACCTAGCATATTCTCCAATAGATACATGCAAGATAATGACAAAATCCTCAAATTGACGAAGACTTGTAAGAATATATGAGTAGGAAAATTCTCATGAAATGAACCAAAAAAAAAAACTAATATCATTATTTACCAGCAATTGATAGTATTCTGCTTCTCGAAGTAGTTCTTGATACTCCACGTTCGTAAGTGTAGGAAGGATCCCATCTCTTAGCCAATTCAGTATGTGCCGGAACTGTTTACCATCCCTATCAACAAACACCATTCCCTGCAAAAATTTCAGTATTACCAAGGAATAAAACTAGGTTCCAACAACTTCGCAAGTACAATAACTTAATTTACAATTGCAAATTTATTTAGCTCATAACCTCAAAATAATTATAATTTTATGTATTAGAATACAATAAATAAATAAATAATAGTTAAAGAACCTCGAACAAGACACATTTTACAATCAAGAAAAAAGTATGGTACTCTTATATTGCATCAAAAGGAGTATTCTATATGAAAGGAAAATCGACTAATGCTTCGTCATTTACCGTTTCGGAATCTCGGCAAACATTATGTCTTCCGCTAAACATTGCTGCAAGCATTGAATAAGGCTCACGTTGAGTAAGAGTATCAACTGTAGTCGCATATTTCTTCCCCCCTATGAACATTTTAAGGGTAAATCATCACCAAATGGAACATCATAAACATAAAGTAGTTGTGATTAGAGGAGAATAATTAATACTGCCATTATAGTAGCAGCTTGTATATAACGTGTGAGAATTCTTCCTAACCATAGAAGAGGAAGCAGGGAATAGATGTTTTAAAAACAAAAAGCTTTCAAAATATAAGTAACATTCTAGGAAGGAGGGCAACAAGTTCTACTACTGTGGACAAGCAATCCTCTTGGTTTGGTATCACTGATGCAACCCTGGAATATTCCCTCCCCCAACCCTCAAATGCAAAAAGCAATAATATGGATATAAAAGTAAAATAAAAATGCATGATGCAAAAATAGTCTTCCCTATGTTAATATGGAAAATAATTGGGACCTAAAAGGCAAGTGATGCCCAAGGTTATCAACACCAGCGTCCAACGCTTAGACAACTTCATATGATTCTGCTATGTAAAAAGAGAAATAGTATTTTTGTAATATGGTACAAAATGCAAATTAGTATTTTGTAAAAGATATAAGCAAGTGATTTATAAGAATAGTATGAGATTCCATGTTTTGTAGATAGAAAATTATTAATTACTAGTTGGAAAGATAAAATACACAAAAGGCTAAGAGGTACATGGAAAGACACAAAACAAGCAGTACAAACAATGTTGGAATTGATTACAAATACAACTGTTAGAATGAATAAATTGTTGTAAGAAATTTAGTAAGCTTGAAGAGGGAAACACCAAGAGTATTCATGATGACATTTAATCTTTATGATGCTCTCTTTTCATTAGGGTACTTTATGGAATTGCTCAATAGGTATGTGAACATAACCTGAATCAAATTAATGCTTTATTGTACAAACCCGAAGTCAAAAATATCAGCCCAATTATTATTTCTCCTGGAATTTCATCGATTTACAATTTTATTTTATTCATCAGTGAAATTCAAAGTGCATAGTATCTACCACATGTCATGAAGCCAACATTTCCTCTCTTCCCAAAGCTGAATTCAATTCAGAATGGAGTTTGACCCCAAGCTTCTGCAATTTCAAATCAGCAAAGGAATGCTTTTTAAATCACCAGTAGATGTATTTAAATTAGATCAATGACAGATTTCCAAATTTAGGTTGCAGATTTTAAAATTTTGATTAGATTATACTAGCAAAGGTCATTCTTTATTTATCATTCTATTTAAAGTCAAGAATTTCCTAAATGTCTAAATTGAATGCAATATGGAAGACACTTCAAACTCATTTTAGTTAAATGGCTTCACATAGACTTTTCTAATTCATAAATGTCTCATAAATCCATTTTATCATCGGGGTTGATGGATTTAATTGTTAGAATAACATTAATAGCCCACTTAAAAAGATGACAAAGAGCTATACAAATCCAAAAGATCTACTAGTTCTTTATTTTTTTCATAACAACCATATAAGACAAATTTATTATGATAATCATTGCTAATTTATAAGAAACCAAGTTTTTTAAGGTTTTAAGAGAATTATTTCTAATTTAGCGCAGATAAGGAAACCATCTTTGAAGAGGACCGCCAATCAAATTCAACCCAAAATTTAAATATGTTCAAACATAATGAGTTAATAATAGAAGTCAACCATATCAATAGGTAGTGAGATATTTCCGTGAAAGCTACAGGTAGCCAGAGTATAGTGAAGTAAGTATCAGAAGAAAGCGTTTGTAATTGAGTCCAAAGATGGTACAATATTGACATACCAATGCAAGCATTAAAATATAGTTGACTTCCAGAACCAGATAATTTGATTCTTAGCAATTTCGGAAGAGAGAAACATGTATTCTTAAAGACTGCCTTCAATGGCACACATTGGCACCATAGCTATCAAAAACATTCTTTCAAAGTTTATTTCATTAATATAAATAGGACAAATGTACTAAGTAGCGTAACTTTAGAAATTAGACTACACAACTAACGACTGAAATCAGATTATCTTGTAAGACCATAAATCTCTCTAACCTGAAGTGAACCCATCTTAAATTCATGATTTGCCCTCAATTGACTTGCCTTAAAAATAAAGAACAAAGGAAAGACATTTCGGAAAGCTTTAAACTTGGCCAAGCAGGGTACTGGAACTCTCAAAGAAAATACATAAATAAATAAATTAAACATCCAGTCCAACGATACATCAGCCAGGGTACTAATAACGCTAATTCGCCCCTCAAAAATTGGAAAAAAAAAAAAACTCAAATCATCCTCGCCATGTCAAGATTGAGCACCAATCAAAAACGCCCAAGCAATTTCCATCCTCGTGGATAGAAGGAGATTACAAGTAAAAACTAATCCTAAGAATTTAAAAGGGGTCGAACGTACGATCGATACCTATATTGAGGAGGACCGGCGAAGGAGAACACTCTATGTTCGATCCCATCGCGTACTCGACTCGCGCGGAGGCAGCACAAGAACCAGCGTCGGTTTTCCTTCGCTCTGCGGCCTTCCAATTTTTATTATGCAAAAATTTCATTGAAATTTGATAAAAGTGTTCTATTTGTATATAAAATTGCAAAAACTTCTGCGGGAGTATTATTTAATAAATTGATTCTTCGATTATGAAATCTCAAAAATATAATAATTTACTCCTTTTTGATAAAAAGTTTTAATAAATAAATATAATAATTTATGGGCTTTGATGTCATATGAAAGTAAAAAAAAAAAAGATAAGTTGACAGTATTAATAAATATTTTTAGCATATTGACAGCTATATGAATAATGTTAATAATTTTACAATCACATAAACGATAAAATGAAGATTATCATTTTATTTGTTAAATTTTAAATTTATCTTAAAAATATTCTTTAATCATAACAATATTACCAAATTTATATCTGATATGATTTTTTTTACAGAATAAATTAAATTACTATTTTTAATTTGTAAAATTTTGAACTACTATTTTTTATTTGTAAAATTTTGAACTGCTAATTTTTTATATAGAAATATGAAGCTGGCAGAAGTTTTACCAATTAAACAAGTATTAATTGTTCTACAATGTAAATAAAAAACTTTGTAAATCATGAGCATATATAATTAGTTAATTACTGGTCCTTACAAATTATTAATAATTTAACATTATATTCGAAAGCAATGAAAATTGAAAAGAATAATTTTTTAAAGTTATATTTTATGTTTAGTCTAAATTTCTTTAGGATGATTGTAATATTTTATAATTTTTTTGTAAAATTATTATGGAATGAATAACTTAACTATTTTAATTGTAAAAAATAAACTTTCATCCTGAAAAAATCTAAAAAAATAATAAGAAAGCAATAAATAATAATAATTATTGTATGATAAATAAAATAATAAAATAACTATTTCAAAACAGACCCTAAATTTTATTATTGTGGGAATATGATGGAAAATTGTGGGAATATGATTTTATAAGTGCATAATACTCATACAAAGCATGTCGTAGAAGCTACAGAGTATAGTTAAGCGCAACAGGAGAACAAAAGGAAGATATTAGATTTAGGCTGTTAAGCTTTTCACATGGATATTTTCACTTGAAGCATAAAAAAATGACAAATCATAAAAGGCTTGAAATCAAATAATTATACTAAGAAGCTGCATTCTACAACCGCTTTAAAATTTTGATTTTTTTCACTTTATAAAATAATAAAAAAATATCCCAAAAGAAACTATAATTTGAATTCAATCAGTGTTGAAACAAACGACAAATGAAAACTAAGGCTTCATTTTGAATGGTTTTCTTACTGTTTCTTAAAGAAGCTTGCTAGTACATTTATGTACTAGAAAGTACAAATATGTACTAAAAAGCTGCTTTAAGAAGCAATAAAAAAATCATCTCAAACGAAATCTAAGTCATGCTAAATTACCACATAACAATGTTTATATCTAACAATTTCATGCAAAAAAAGAAAATGAATGATATTCCAAAAGAAATTTTGAGGATTTTTTCCCTAATATGAACAATGAAACAAGCATCAGCAGCAGCAAATTTTCATGCAAAAAACTCAGCTTTCTTATACTAAACATTTTTGTTAGAAACAGTCCTCACTTTTGCTGCCCTTTTGCAACGCCTTAACAAATACTCAACAAAATGGCAAGAAAAATATAATTATGAATGCATATTTGCTACCTTTTGATGAGTATTTACAAAGCGTTGTAAATCCGAACAGATTTTTCCCGCACATAATAAAATTTTCATGCTCAGAGCATCAAGTCTGCATAAAGTTTAATATTTCATGTAGTACAAAGTACAAAGTACTGACCAAAGTCCATCACGAGTTCAGCATAAGCTGAAGAGTTAATGAAACTACAATTAAAACCAGCTTCAATAAATAAGGGTTTCCAATATAGTCTCGCTACAAGATTCAAAATTGAAGGCAAAAACCTAGACAAACAATCTTCAAACCAGACACAGATGCTTCCCGAATCGACTAAATACTCATAATTTTAAGCAGGAAATTTAGTGAGATTTCACATACTCCTGAACTATATGAAGTCCCTCTGATTCTTCTCCATAATCCTGCAAATCCAGAAAACATTAAATGCTCAGAAAATTCAGGCATCAGAGCCTCAAGAATAAACTTTTAGAGCTAATGGAGAAGGTTAGAATTTTATTTTACCTTAACAACAACACACGAGCACCCTATGACTTTCCTTGCCTTTCCCTCTGAATCAATCTTGCACAGCTGTAATACACAAAAATGAGTATCCTCATCCACCAATGAAATAGAACAGGAAAAAGCACTTACAACAGCAGCAATAACAATTAAAATATCATATTTAGAAGAAAAAAGGAATAATAAGAGAGTGAACGCATAACAATATATAACGGATAGAACCCAAAATCTTTCACAATTATAAAAATAACACACAAATCCTTGTATTTATAATAACATCACCCAAATTTTGACAGGCACAACATAATCATAAAATTTCATTCTCAGTTAAATTCTAAATGATTTTGCTCTTTCTGATGCAAGTCCAAGAGTTTGATAGTTCGTTTTAAATTAATGAATGTAAATTTCTCAAATAAGGAAGATTTCAATAGTACAAAAGTTAAACTTTAACCAGAAAAAGTATGATCATTTGCCCAATGTAGTGTTGAGGAAACTTGAAAGGAAAATACCAGCATGGTTTTAAAAATCAGACTCGACCGGACGATTTGATATTATCCCAAAACCAATTTCAACCCGTATCAAACCGATCAATTAACCGCTACGATTTATTTGCTATCTCATTAATATAATTAAATAAACTAATTTAACATGTAAAAATATAAACTTGTTAACATAATAAATTAATTTAACTTTAATTTAATTAAATAAAAAATGAGCATTATTTCCTAGAACAATAATTTGCTAAAAAACATCAAACAAATTTTTTCACATGAACCCACCATCCCATGTAACTACTTTACTCATGTGTAGAAAAATCTATATAAACAATATAAAGCATAGTGCCCCAATGATGTGGGACTAAATAACCAATATGAAGTTCTAAAAATCACAAAACATACACTACATATTCTAACACATATTTTTATTAATTTTTTATAATGTGAATAATTTTTTTGGTTAATAATATGCAATTTTATCTATTTATTAATTAATTTATTCATTTATATAAAATAAACTAATTTTTATCTATTTTTTATTATAAATGATCTAAAATGGATTTACAAATGCAATTTTATAATATAATTTTATATACAATTTATAGGTGCAAATTATATCTAAACATAAAACATAATTAACATTTATTTATATTAAATCTATAAATTTATATATAAACTACTTTTATATTAAATGTGAATTAAATTTAAAGATTGAATCTGTCAAAATTTTAAATTATAAAATATATTATTTGTGTATGAATTCTATTTTATAAGTTTATATTATTACATGCTTATTATATCATTATTATGTTATTTAAATAAATTTACTATTTATTATTTCATTTGATTCAATCTCAATCGAACCATTTAACCTACTCCTTCCGCTTCTATTTCTAACTCAGTTTTCACAACCTTCAATAACAGAACAAACGCACCGCTATTGATAATGCCAAAAAAATGCAAACTTGACTTTTCTACCCAAAAAAAAAACCTTCAACAGTAAATGGAATGCAAACTAAATGGTTGGCAATTTATCAATGATTAGTCAAAAAAATATTCAAAATAAATTTCAGCAATGCACTTACCCCGGCCCACTCTCCCAAGGTTTTGGCACTTGGAATAGTCACCAAGTGGACATTGTGATCTGCACAGAGAGCCTTGACCAGCTTAACATAGTCAGGTTGATCACAATCCTCAGCAAGCACACAAAGCTGTGCGGCGTGCTTTTCAACAGCCTTAGCTGCTTCATGGAGTCCACGAATAAGCCCATCATGTGCCAAACTTTTTCTCAAAACAAGTTGGAGTGCCGTCATGAGGTCCATAGGTTCTCCAAGAACAGAAGCGGGTGTTTCCGTGGGAAGGCCATCTTCCCTGCCATAGTGCCATCAAATAAACAAGACTGAGAATAAGATCTCAAAATTTAAGGCAGAAAATTATAAGGGGAAACCATTTTTAAGAGCCAAACTCTATTGATTGGCAGTTTAATAGCAACTCATTTAGTAGGATAAATTTATAATATGCTTGTTAACATTGTAAGATCACACCACAGGGGGAAAAACTTCATTACTGTTTAAAGGACATAGTTCATAACAGTATCTCAGTATAATATAGTGCGCCACATGCTTGAACAAGTAATTTAGAAATGCCTCTGATCAGCATCACTTCGCTTAGCTTTCAAAGGCATATTAGTGTTTTAGGGTAGAAATTTATTTTGTGCAGAACTGTACAACAAAAAAGCATATCATCGCCAAAGGGAGCTGCAGTCATAGATGACCTCTCATCATCCTTAGATGGGAAGTTACTTCTGACCCAACTCTTAAGAAAGTAGGGGCCTTCTATGGATTCATCAATATGTTGTTATGTTGTATTGCTTCATAAAAAATAAATCACTGCTACAAAGTGATTCATGTGCAAATCAATTTTTAATGTGTCAGATTATTTAAAAGCAAAAAACTGATAAGCATTACCAAAGAAGGCAAAGCTCAATACATACATCAAATTATCATTTTGCAAGCATTTCACAAAAATACAATAACAATTCCATAATCATTCGTTGTTAATTGTTTTGAAATTGAATTCAAAACATCAAGCACAAGATGCTTGATCAATATAGCTCATCAACTAGTTTGATACGAATGCGATCATTTTGCAAGCATTTCACTAAAATAAAATAACAATTCCATAATTATTTGTCTGTATTTGTTTTAAAAATGGAAATCAACACATAAAATGCTAGATGCTTGTACGATAGTTTGTCATCTAGTTTAATCAGAATTGGTTTCAACATAAGTGTTGGCAAGTACATCTGAAAACACTATAGCTAGCAGCGTTACGTCCCAATAAGCTCAACGCTTCATGATTTTTCTTCTTGTTGATAAGACTAGAGAGGAAGTTGAAGGTAAACTTGAAGTATGGAGGTCAAACTTAGAGTCTAAAGGTTTTCGCTTGAGTATATCTAAAACAGAACATATGGAGTGTAATTTTAGTAGTAAAAGACCTAGTGAGGGGATTGTGACTTTGGGCGATCAAGTCATTAATAAGAGTACACGGTTTAGATATCTTAGATCTATTATTCAGAGTGGTGGTGAAATAAATGGGGATATTATCAGTAAAATTCAAGTTGGATGGTTGAAGTGGAGGAATGCATCAGGCTTGTTGTGTGATAGAAAAGTACCCCTCAAACTTAAGGGAAAATTCTATAAGATGGTGGTGATGCCTGAAATGTTTTATGGTGTCGAATGTTGGCCATTAAAAGAGAAGCATAACACTAAGTTAAGAGTGGCAGAGATGAGGATGCTCAGGTGGATGAGTGGCTTTACCCTTAGAGATATGATACAAAATGAGCATATACGTGAAAAGGTTGGAGTAGCTCCAGTAGAAGATAAGATTAGAGAGAGTCACCTTAGATGGTTTAATCACATAAAACGACGGCATTCCGATGACCCGGTTAGGAGAGTAGATGTATTATATTTGACTTATGTTAAAAAAGGTAAATGCATACCTGAAAAGACTTGGTTAGAAAATATTAGGAATGACCTTTGTTTATTAGATTTAAACGAGAATTTGACATTTAATAGGACACAATGGAGAAAAAGAATTCATGTAGCCGACCCCACATAGTAGGATAAATGTTTGATGTTGTTGTTGTAATCATATGATGCACACTCTATATTAAACTCTAGGATAAACCAAACTTGGAATAGATTAATCAAAATAGAATCACCACACACAGGCTTTTATAATAACCCATCGACAACCCAATTTAGCAAGTCACTAAGCTTTACCAGCATACACTTTTGTATGCCAATATAATAGAGAAAAACAAGTTCTTGTGATTCCAACTTCTTGTTAAATTGCTTCATAAAAAATAGAGATGCATTAATGTTTTAATGTTGTGATATAAATTTAGATAGTGGCTATCCTACAAAATTAAATGTACAGCTTCATTGTCCTGAGAAAAATAAGAGGAAAAAAAGGACTAACACGCTTCACTCTTTCACCACATTGACTACATTCCTTCAAAAACCGTGATATAAGAAAGAAAAAAAGAATATAACAAGAAAAATCAATACAAACATTCTCATGTGGGACATTGATAAATGACAAACACCATTCAAACAAAATTGTGTGCATATTCAATTGAATCTCTGATAACAAACAGACTCATTCAAGTAACAAAATAATTAAACTTTAAAAGTAAATTGCTGTTCAATTTGATGAGCACACATTATAACTTCAAATGACAACATACTTTCCTATATTCATAGTTAAGCAAATATATCTTCAATAGTTGGTTAGTTTAGCAAAAGTAAAACAAACTTGTCTAATCATCAATCATTACTGTAGCTCTGTGAAAGCGTGGAATTTGATTTACATCAAAAGCAAAAAGGGGGCGTGCAGAGACGGGATACATTTAAATGAGTAAGCTGTGCATCTCTCATTGCCTAATAACACGATCTGTATTCCATGTGGATAGTAATTTCTAATATTTATTAAACTCCAATTAAAATCTAATATTTATCTCTATTCATGTACGATCCAAACCCGTTTCATGGCAAACAAGATCTCAACCATCATGCAGGAGCTTTCCCATACCCATCAGATACAACTCAATTCGAAGACCAAGCATTACAAATAACAAGAGAAAACTCTGGAGAGTCAAAGAAATCGTTATTCGAATGTCAGGAGCTGAGATATTGCTGAAGTAAATCTATACATAGACAAGAGAAAGTGCAGATGTGATGAGGAAGTAGAAAGAGCAGGGATAGGTTGCGATCGCTTACGCCATTGCTGCGATTACGTTTCCGCGAGATTTAGAAGATTCAGTGGAGGCGGGAGAGACGAACGGCGCGCTCTCAAGTTCTGGTTCAAGCTAGGGTTTGGGACGGAGTCTTGGCGAAAATTTAAGGGCTTCACGATCGAGGATTTGCCTATGCCGCTTATAAGTTATAACCGTCCGATGGCAAATATTTTTAGTACACGCTTTTAAGAATTATTTTTTAAGCTAAGAAAAATTATAAATATAGCTTTTAAAAAATAAATCTGAATGTAATTATAAATATAAACACACACTAATTTAAACTACAATTATAAAAGTAATATGTGATTATTTTTATTTAATTTGATAATTTTAATTTTAAATATACATTATACATTATTAATTGCATCATGAAATAATTAGCATATAAGAATGGAATTTTCAACTTTCTAATTTAATTTTATCAATTTAATTATTAAATGCTTAAACTATATTGCTTGAGATTCTTCTGATAAGAAATCTCATCCTTTAAATATCATAACGTGTCAAAAATGATAACCTTTCATAGCCCAAATTTAAAATTTATCTATATCTATTTTATCTACAAGAAAAATAACTTATTTAAATGTCTATAATAAAAGATGAAGATAAGCATTAATTCATAGTGCAAGCCGGAGTAGGGCTGTAAAAATTGGGTCACAGGTCGGGTTTGGATCCAACTCGAAACTAACCCGACATAAGTTGATCTGACCTGAACTTTACCCGCTTCGGATTCGGGTCAATCCGACCCGACCCACCAACCCTTCTTTACTTCTGATCCAGCAAGTCAAAATGAATGCCGGTGAGGCGACGCAGGTAGCAGCTTGGGCTGGAGGAGTGGCCTGGTTCTTCAGGACATCGGCAGCGACATGTTAAAAGAAGAATACTTGTGCTGGAGGAGTGGCGGAGCGGCCTAGGCTGGTGGAGTGCCGGAGCGGCCTGGGCAAAAGGAGTGCCGGACGGCGGGATGGTGGGACGGCGAGAGAGGTGGACGACCGCTTGACTCGCTAGTTGTGAGTGTGGGCAAGCCAGCAGGGAACCGGGTTAGCAGGATTGCAAATCCAGGATTTTGTGTTACAGAGTTACAGCGGATTCCGGGAAATTCTCAAAAATGTAAGTCAGTTCCGGGTCAATCTCGGGTTTCCGGATCAACCCGAACCCAACTCAATTTTTGAAACAGTTCAGTTCCTTGAACCCAAAACTCGACATGTTTGACAAGCGGGTTGACCCTAACCAAAAAATTTCTGGTCGGATTCTAGTTGGATTTTTGGGTCACGTCAAAGATTGACACGCAAAAGCTGGAGAAGGAGAATATGAAAACTTGTACCCTTTTACATTAACTTCATCTTTATTATCTATTTCTAATTTATCTTTACAATTATTAGTAGAAAAAGTGGAGTCATAGTTCATTTGTTATACGAGTTTAAACGGAATCAAGAGATAAAAGAAGAGGATTCTTAATTCATTTGTTTTATGATGCAAAGAGAAATCGAGAGAGAGAGAGACATAAAAAAATGTAAATCGTAACTTTTGCCTTCTCACTTGCAGCATCTCAGAGAGTCTGACTCTCGCGTCTAATTTCTCACACATTTGAAAGCATTCCCAATAATGCAATGTTCTTTTTTACATCTCAACATTGTACAAAATTGTAGCGCATATAGATAAAAGTAGCTATATAAAAAAAAAATTACGCGAAAAATAGGAAGGGAAAAATCAAAGGGTCTAATCCTCGTTGAAAAATCCACTATACAGTAAGTGATACAATAATCTTTTTTTATTCATTGTTGAATAAGAGGGGGATTAAACAGATGTATGATTTTTTTAGGGAGATTATAGTAATCATGTGTCCAAAGAGAGAGTTAACATCTAATAATATGGCTTGATTTCTCCAACATGGAGTATACAAAGGCAGGTATCCACATGCAAACAATTATATCCCATAGCATGGTTAAATATTGTTAGTATTTGATGGCAATTTCTGATGTTGATTGTCAATGGCGATAGTGAAAGTGAACTCTATCTAGTTTTCTCAGTGACGATGACTGAAAAATGCAAGAGAGCTCTATCTAGTTTTCTCTATTCTTCTTCTCCCCTTCATGTGGGGAATGAGATATATTTATAGACTTTTTTAGATGAGCATTCTGATAATTTAAATAAAATTCAAAACACTTCATTGTACAGGTATATATATATTAAAGTAGTCTTTAAGCAATTAAATGCCTTAATGATGTAGGAATTAAGTGATCTTGGGTTAGGGGTGTAAATGAGTCGAGTCGAGTATATGCCTAATCAAACTAAGCTGGTTTAGCTCTTACTAAGCTCGAGATCGTTTACTAAAAAATTATAGGCATGAGCTTGTCTAGAAAGCTCGAACTTGACTTGATTGTTGAGCTTTATTTCTTAGTTTTAATTTTAATTTTTTTATAGTTTTTTATTTTCATATAGAATTAATTTAAAAATCTTAAAATATGTTATATAATAGTAATTTAAATTAATTTTAAATTAATCGAGTAACTTAACAAACTTTCGAGTTAAGCCAACCTTAGCTCGAGCTTGTAGTATTCGAGCTTGAGTATAGGCTTGAGCTCAAACACGTGGCTTTATAAGCTCGACTCATAAACCCGTTAACAAATCAAATTCAAGCTTGAGCTGTCCCAAAGAACCCTAAATGACTTACCATTAATAAAAAAGAAATGCTTATAAAACAATAAAAAAAACAAACTGACCTCAAGGAAAATAAGCTATTTGCAACTCACTATAACAAGTAATTCAAAAAAATAAATAAATAATTAGAGCACTCATTCAATCTCTCATTGTCGATTAATTATTCTGTGCAGACACCTAACAACATCCGTAGACGAATGAGAGCGCGTCAGGTCATTTTTTCTTGTGTACCGATGCTATGTATAGCTGTATATCAAATGATATGGTGCACTCTCATTCGTTTCTGGATAATCCAGTGTCCGCACAAAAAAATTTCTCCTCATTGTCTCCCTTATATCTCTCACTTCTCACTTCGAATTGATTGTATAATGCCTATCTAATATTTTTCAATAGATCACCAAGCCCATCTGAATTGATTCACAAGGAGAATATATGCTCATATAGAGTGATTAACATTTTATTTGAGATAACTTTTATATTGCTTTATAAAACAATTTTTTAACATAATTAAAAAAAAAAAGTATCAGTTGCTGCTTTAGAAAGCAGTGAAGAATTATCCAAAATGATACCTAAGGCTTCATTTGAGGTACCTTTCTTACTGCTTATTAAAACAATTTTTTAGTTTAAAAAAATTATACTAAAAAACTATTTTTAAAAAAAATAATAAGAAAGATGTCTCAAACGAAGCCTAAAAAGAAATCTAACATCATATAAGCCAAAGGGGAAAAAGCAGCACCCGAATCATCAAGATTTCATAATCAATGATGATATAATATATATGCACATTTCAAATAGAACTATATTGAAGAAAATGCAAGTTGACTTCATGAACTAGTGTCAACAAAAGAGAAATTATTCTACCGAACATAATTCGGAGACCAAACAGAATGCGCCACATCATCCCTTCGCTCAGTACCACGGCTCAATATCACTGTTGTGGAGCATTCTGGTTGGTCTACAAATACGTTCTCTCCGCCTATAATAATTTCTCCAACGAAGAAGAACCTAAAAGCCAAATCGTAGGGTTACATCAGCTAAATCAGAAGCTGAACATATCACAAAGATCAACTCACCATGAGCACATCATACATAATAATCTGCAATTTCGAGCAAGTGAATCATAAATAGGTATTCAACACACTACCAGAGCCAAATCAATATATATACATTTACATTAACACTACTAAAGTAATGAAAAGATGAGCCTACTCATGCTACATGATACAAATATCACACAATTAAGACTTCAAGAAGCTGAATCCAACAGGTTTATTTTGTGAGCATCATTAAGTTAGGAGGAAACAGCCCAAAAAAACTATTGAAAGCCGTATAATTTTTGCTTTCTTCAATTGCATAGAAACATTATTGTACAAAACAAATACTTACTGTTCCAAAGCTACCTATTGAACAATGAACAAAAGAGAAGCAACGATATATCAAGACTGCTATCTCTACGGTCCCTCCTAAATATCCAAAGTATGGTCTAATATCTGGGCTCATATACTGCAACAAAAGGCAAATCGTTGATCATTTGATCCTGTGATGAATTGGGATGAGATAAGCACTCCTATGATTTAAGGAAGCATCTCGCCTGAGAATCTCTGCAAATGAAGTATTCAGGTTAACAAATTATGATCGTAAATTGTTTCATGGCAAAAAAGGCCTATTTTACGATACCTTTGGTTCACCAAAGTAATAACGGAATGTCAAGAAGGATTCAAAGAAAACCTAGCAATGTATTTTCAAGAGAAACTGCGGAAACTTCATGATTATTTTGTTTTTTGTTTTTGCTAAAAAGGAAGGAAGAATACTTGACAATGCAAATCTAATTCCTAATACAACTAGATGAGACTTGCATGAACCAAAAGAGTGGAATAACATCTATGTTGCACCGATACGGATATGGCGACACGGATACAACATGATACGGATACGGGACACGTCAATTCTTAAAAATATAGGATACGGGTACGGTGCAGACACATCATTATAATTTATAAATCATAAATAAAAATTAAGAGAACAATCAAAGCATAATATTTGAAATTACAAAAAAAAAATGAAAGTAACATCATTTGTAGCCCTGTAGCTTATAATATCAAAATAAAAATAAGTTTTAAATGTCTAGTACAACAACAAAAGCCTAAACATAAATTTTCTAGCACATGAAGTTTCAACTGTTCAATGGAAGGAATGATATGATTAACTTCTTTGAACTTCTATATCATCTTAAATAAATATCATAGCTTCTAATTCAGGCTCATCAAGTGAAAGATTAGCAATTTCTAATATTCCCATATCATCAAGAGACTCGAATCCATCTCAAAAATGAGAGAACCTCGCTCGCAATCGTGGAAATAAATACAACGGGTCTTTTTTCGGATTTTTTTTATTTTTCAACGGACACGTTTATCGAAAACGCGTGTCCTTTTGAAATTAAATAGTAATTTAATTGGATATGGCAAAGCCGTATTTGCCATATATGACACGTATCTGTACCGTATTGGAGGCGTATCCATGTATCGGTGTATCAGATACAACACACCTTCATAAATAGGTGTATCAGTGCAACATAGAATAACATTGAAGTAAAACAAAATAAAAATGAAAAATTCACCAAGAAAACACCAAAAAAAAAAAAAAAAGAGAGAGAACGACAAAAGATGAAGATGAATTCCATTATACAGGTACTGGAAAGCAATATAAAGTGTCATGTATTACCTACTTGGACAGGACACCCATAAAATCGTTTGAGGGGAAAGTTGGCAGCATAGTTTTTTCAACTTTAGAGCCCTCCAAAAAATCCAAATTGAGCTCTTGCTTTACTTTATCCACATCATCAAACACACTTGTCTTTATGTTATTCCAGTCATTTGTAGGAGATTCAATGTCATCGACAGCAAATCTACTAGGTAGACAAGTACCTTTACCAACAAAGCCCAGATTCCTTGCATGTTCATAATTAACTGATGTCCCTGACTTCACCTCAGTACCCGGAATGCACAAGTTAGGTAAGTGACCAGGTGACCTATTAAGAGAATCAAAATTCATGTTAGAATTATGCAACCTCCAACCAGCACCGCCATTAGTGCAAACTGAACCAGATGAAACTGACGGCGATGACACGGAAGCTGGAGTTGAGTAGCTACTTAAAAGGCCAATCTTCTTGAAATCTCCATCTGCGACTCGTCCCATGCTCAATGGCACATTGTTTGGCTGAGAAGAAAGGATGTTATAATCAAAGGTAATACTACTTCCATTAAAGGTAGAATTTGATGTTTGTGGGGCTACAACCATAGAGTTCTTATTTACTGGCATAGAGCAATTTCCACCGTTTAAATTGTTTGGTAACTGGGTTGGAACTACAAGACATGAAGGCCGCACATTAATTGCATTATGCGATTCCGATACCACAAGATTAAATGGTTCTTGTTGATGCTGCAACATTTGCATCAATAAATTATTATTTTGCGTGTTGCTTATATCCCCAAGTTCACTGTTGGAACCTGTGACACCGAGCTGATTAGATGGCCAAGATGAAAAGCTGGATGGGACGTCTTGAGAATTAATTCCAGATGGAGGAAACGGTTTTGATATTCCAGATTGGCATTGAAATAGAGGCTGACCAAATGCAATTTCCTTTTCGACAGGCAAAAACTTTGAGTTTTGGCTTGAAGCTTGCAAAAGGATTGGTGAATCTATCACAGGCAATACTACGTTCCCTGAAGGTCGACCTAAGAGCTCTGCATGTAAGACGGCAAGAGTCTGTGGAGGTATTTGACCTGTAGCAGTGAGGGAGTGGAAGTCAAGTCTTCCTAACGAACCAACTTTTGTATTTGGCTCCACAGGGCTACAAAACGGATTAGAAAGTGCACTTTGATGTTGAGTCACGCCACTTATTCTCTTCAAATACAATCTGAATTTCTGTGCAATTATAACAATTCATTGAGAACTTCAGGATTAAACTAATGTAACTTGAGAAAAATAGAGAATCCATAAAAAGAATCGCCTGAGAAAGATTCAAAAACAAAGTCAAAAGAAATACCAATTATCCTCGTAATTCTATATTCATTTTTTAAATCATGCAGAAAGAAGAAAAAAAAGTTAGGACGGGAAACAGTATTATATGAGTTCATGGGAAGAAACAGCTGCCCAACAACAAAAAGGCTCACCTAGATATTTCCACCATAGTTGTCAAGATAAGAAATTGTAATAGAATCCAGTTAAAACTATAGAAACTGAAGGACATCTAAAACAAATTATGCGCAGATACTCAAAACAGAAAATGATACCATGCCTGAGGCTAACATGAAAGTCCATCTGCATAAAAAATACAAATCTTGTGCATTGAAATTGTTTGAAGTTGTCTACATGTCATAGTTGTGTTTTCCTAGTTTATTTTATGGCAAAACATGCCTATGATGATCCTATTATGAATAGGTTTTGTTCTATAAAATTTGTATTGATTTAGTTTGGCTCTCAATGTCGATTTGGTCCAGCTGTTAACTCCCTGTTTCAACACACGTTTGGTTCTCTGCTATGGATGAGATTTGAGGTTTTCTTGGCCATAAAAAAGAGAAGCATAAAACTAAGTCAAGTGTTGCAGGGATGCGGATGTTAGGTGGATGAGTGGCTTTACTCTTAGAGATATGATACCAAATGAGCATATACGTGAAAAGGTTGGAGTAGCTCCAGTGGAAGATAAAATTAGAGAGAGTCGCCTTAGATGGTTTGGTCACATTAAAGGAGGCCTTTCGATGACCCGGTTAGGAAAGTTGAGGTATTAGATTTAACTTATGTTAAGAAAGGTTGAGGTAGACCTAAAAAGACTTGGTTAGAAAATATTATAAATGATCTTTTTTAATTAGATTTAAATGAGAATTTGACTTTTAATGGGACACATTGGAGAAAAAGGATTCATGTAGCCGACCCCACGTAGTGGGATAAAGGCTTGATGTTGTTGTTGTTGTTGTATATCCTCTGATTCCTTCCCGAGTCTACATTATGTTTCCAATGACAGTTCAGTTTGGTACACTCTACTGCTTCTCGCTGATTTGGGAAGACTTCGCTACTGCCATGTGATCCACATGTAGTTTATTTGCCTCCCCTTGTAATTTAATACTGATTGAAGGTGTTTTGCCTGCTGCCAGTTTTCTTTTATGTTTAAACATCCTTATCGTAGCAGGAATAAGATCGCTTGTTTGTCAGGTTGTTGATTGCTTAGTCTCCTCCCTCTTCGTGACTTCCCTAATATAGTTAGATATGGGATCTGTTCGCTTTATTTATGAATCTAGCCAAACCATGAATTTGCTATAAACAAGATTCAAAAATTTTGAAACATCTTCTTTGTTTAGACTAGATTTAGAATTTAGTAAAACAACAAATTATGGTAAGTTTTGACTCGAAATAGGAGATATCTATGCTTGTAAAATTCATTTGATGCTAAATGTGATTACATAGTTCTTAAAATTTGTGCGTATTGTTGGATTTGAATTCTTAGTGGGATAAAGGCTTGATGTTTTTGTTGTTGGTGGTGGTGGATGTGAATTCTTCAAGTGCAGTGCAAGCCTTAAAATGTCAATTTCGGGAAAACTCTTCATTATACTGATGTGAGGCCTAAATCTTACATTTAGTGATTTTCATCGCTCTTCTTCTCATCTAAATACTTCATGAAGGATTTAGTCAGATATGCTATAATCTAATTTTTTTTAGCAGGCTGATATGAATTCTAAACATTGCATGGTCTTATTTCATGCTCAAATATCCTGCTAAATTGTATATTTTATACCATAAATTATCATTTGACACAAGTTTTATCTGTTTTTTATTTAGGTTAAAAGTGACTAAAGTTTGCCCTAACTAATGGTCGGTGGACTACTATTTTTTATCATTTATGCCTTTATATCATGCATTCCAATTTCCACCAAAATTTATATAGGGAAATCCTAGACCCTAAAATATTCTATATTTGTGGGCTCCGAAAATTCGGCCCTGGCCTCCGCCCGCTTTGTTTTTCTTTTCGGGGGGACTTTTAACGGAATTAAGTTCCGGGGTAAATTTTGGGAAGACATATGGGTTTGTAGATAAGACACTACCCAGAGATTTCGCCCTCATTTTGTGAGGACTTTATGATCTGAGTTCTGGTTTCCTATAGGCACAAGCCCCTATAGTGAATTACTCTTCCCGATCACGAGAGAGAACTTTCGATTAAAGGTTAGTCGTCAATCAGATACATTAAATATATAGATACGTAGTTTCAGGCATATAGTAACAGCATGGACTTGAAAATTGGAAGTTTGAAGGGTTTGAAGATTTGATATTTAAGAAAGTTTCATATTTAAAATTAGAAATTTCACCACCTTGCACTTAAAGCGGATGGTGAGGGAATGGATGATGGACCCAATCAAGATCCCCTGGTTCCGTCGTCCCAGGCCATTGTGGTCCCTGGTCTACTTAGTCAGAGGAGATAATCGACCCAACCTGACAGAAGATCCGTGTCGGCAGCCATGGATTGCTTCGTCCAAGAGAACCTTATCGACTTGGGGTGAGTGTTTGTTTAAGGGGACAAATTTAAATCCACCTTAGCTAATAAAGGGCTTTGTACCCTATCGATCATATCATATTAATTCATATCTCAAAGATTTGATGTCAATAAGGAACATTGGCTCTGGCCATAACCAGTATTTCGTGATGCCATTTGACGACAAAACTACTCGGTTCAGAGGACTCCGGGTTATAACCGTTTATCCTACGGTGCCATTTGGCAGCAAAACCGCCGGTCAGAGGAGCCGTACCACATCCTTATTGACAAAAGATTTATTGATAATAGATCCTAGTGATATTTTCGGCCAGGCATTTAGCTCTATGTGAGCTGAAGATATTCGAAATTGTCCACCTCAGCAAACTGTTGCAGAGGGTGGATTTTCTTTAAGTGTTTGATGAATGAAATTTTGATTTTAAATAATTTGCATTTTGGAATGACTTTGGAATTTTGGATATTGTGGGTTTTGGAGCTTTGATGAGCATTTGGGTGGCATTTGAAGTTATTTATGAACCCCTCTGGTTGAAATTTTCGTTCAACACGGTCATCATCAGGGTGACTTTGAAGTCACTTGAAAATATTTGAATTTTGTAAAAATTTGGGGATATTTGAAATGGTTTGTGAACCCCTCTAATTGAGATTTTTGTTCAACACGACAATTATCGGAGTGTTTGGGATCATTTCTGTTTTTATATTAAACCTTGTCGACCCTATCAACTTATCGATAGAGAATTGGGTTTCATAGACTTTATGCATTTATTAGTGAATTCTCATTGTTATAGTAATATAAATGTATTAAAACAAATATACCGATCGCCATCACCGTATATTTGTTTGATGATTCGAACCCTGTCGACTCCTATTGATCCGCATATAATGATCAAGTTCGAATTTGAATTCATTTATTAACCCGCACAACAACCCTATGCGTCATGTGTGTACCAATAACATGTCCGCTGGGGCCCATGCTAGTGTATTATATGTCCCCTTTTGTGTACCTATGCGTATACAAATTACGGTGCATGTGCGGGGGTATTTTGAAATAATTGTAAACGTTTTATGTCCGCTTGCAAGGACGTTGCAGATCCGGTGGCATGGCGTAGCAGCTTGTGAATTGAATTATTTGATGTTTTGTACAGGTAGACTGTCGTGTACTACTTGTCTCTTTCTGTATACGGATTATAGTGCACTAACTAATCTCCTGCTTCGTACTTGTTGATGCTTGCATTCATTGTAGTCATTTGGCATTCGTTCATAGATAGTGTGTAATATTCATAGCGGGGCTCCAGCAGAAGCTCGTGGGAGCTTGTATCTGTTGTATTCTTCATGCACTTTGTTGTGCTCTTTGGCTCATGTAGTACATCCGCCACTGCTACAGATAGGCAGGTAGAAGTACTCCTTCATAGATTGAAATTGACTTCAGTATACTGCACTTACTGAAGTCTTTCTGCATCTACCCATAAGTGGCATATGGCACGTACATCTATCTTCGTAGAGAGCTTGTATGTATTGCAGATCTTTCTATCCTTTCCTGCAGAGGTTTTGTGTATTTGCTTATATTCTTTTTAATTCTCGTAGCAACTCCCACTTCTATCTTCAAGATATTACAAGCTTTTGTCTGTGCTTGCAAATGAATGTATTTTCCTGAATTTTGATGTTGAATGCAAGGTATCATTGCACTTTTCACCGATCGTCCCATGCAGACTGATCAGTGGACTATTATATCATTTGTACATTGACTAGCAAACTGCTATATTCATTTGCTTCTTGGCTTTTTTGGTACAATGGAGACTGGTATCCTTGATTGCAGGATTCATGTGAATGTTGCACATCAGATGCATCGTTTGTAGGTGATATATTCGTTAAAGATCTTTGCTCCTTCAATTGTGATCAAATTATATATCTCCTTTGATTTTTATTGCTTGTGAAATTTGGATGCTGACGAGTTGTTGTATTCTCTTTTATTGTCGTTCAGGGATAAATTATAATTATGCTTGCAGGAGATTGATACATCTGCTCATGTTCGTAAAACTTGCATATTCCAACTCTCCTTTATTTATAACATTCGTGTTGCTTGTGAGCAAAACAAAAATTATGCTTACTAAGACTTCAGCATATGTCTTCCATCCCCTCATTGATGATCAAATTCTTTGTGTTATTCATTTGAGTTCAAATTCTTCTTTCATTTCGTTCGAATTCGAGTCCATGTCATTTGTTATTTGCATTCAAACAAAGTTCCTTGTAGTCCAAGGCAAATCCAAGTATGAGTCCGGTTCAACATCATCTGCTCAAGCTTGATTTAAGTTTGATTTTATATTCAAGACATGGTTCATTGAGGCTCAAGTTTGAGTTTAAATTTGAGTCCTAGTTCAAATTAAGTGCATTTAATGTTCATATAAAGTCAATTGTTTGTTTCAAGTCTTTGTCCTTTTTCAGACAAAATTTTAGCGGCCTCCCGGCGTCTCCCCCGTTTAGGGGAAAAACCAAGAGGCAACCTTTCCCTCATCGCTACTTGAGCGCTTCAGGTAGGTCTCAAATGACATCGTGGTTGCATTTTTTTTTAATCCTCGCCCGCTACATGAACGTTTAAGAGTATTGAAGTACATGTTAGAAAGAAGCATAATTTCTTTCCCCTCTCTACACTACATGAGCGTTTGGAGGTACTTATTTTTCGTCCCCCTCATGCTACATGAGCACTCCGGGAATTACCCGCCTCGTTGCAAGCGTCGTGCCGGTTTCCCTCCCTACTATGCTACCTATGATGCACGGACACTCCGCTTAAAGAGGGTATGCAGTGTCGGGCACGTGTCGGACATGGAGACGCGTCCGACACTGCATGGACATGTGTCCGACACAACATTGGAGTGTCGCAATTTAAAAAATTAAAATTAAAATCGGACACGCATGTCTGGTTATTAAATGATAAATGGGTAAGAAAAGTTGCTAGTCCAGTGGGATAATCATGGAGAGGTCATGGTCAATAATGTGCATGATATGTACAAGGAAGATTGCAATTGTGGCCAAAGGGTATTAAGGCAGTGCAATTGAACCAGAGTCACACGATAGGGAGTTTGATAGCTCCTATTCTCATATGAGTTTTTTTTTGTTCTCATTCTTCTTTCCTTTAATGTTTTTATTTTTATTTTTTATTTTTTATGTCAACATTATTTAAAGACATTATATTTAGGTACTAGTAATTTCTCTAGAAAATTTCTCTAGAAGTAAAAAAAGAAATCATTACAATTTTGAATCCACTATAATTTCAAAAGACATTTAAGCCTTTGTTCTACTAATCCTAATTTCAATTAAAATTCAACAATTTACAAATTTGTGTTTTCTTTAAAATAATAGGCACATAAGACAATGTACTCACATTCATTAGAATGGAGGCATCGTTGTCCCTTACCATAATCCTTTGGTATTTTAAAATCTTTTCTCGAATTTTTATAACAATTTCTAAATCAAATATTTGCTCTGTCAAACATATATAACTTCAATGTTCTCCCAGCACACACCTTTACTCATACCCAACAAAATTATTCTTACAATATTCAATAATGTTTTTTCAAGGTAAATAAAAAACAAATATAACTCCTACCTTGATATTTATGCTTCTAAATTATTAAACTAAGGTAAAAAAAATAACATCATTTACTAATATTGTGGTGTCACCAAACTCTCGTAATATCATTCATGACTCTGAAGCACTATTTCACTCTAATCAATTAATCAAATTTTTGGCAGAATGTCTGTGAGTGTAGGTATGAAGATTATTTGAATTTTAAGGATTTTAGCAAAAGGACTATAACCCGTTCTGCAATGCTAGTGAATGTCTTACATAACTTTCCAAGGCTCGACTCCTTTAACTAATTGAAAAACAAATCTTTTAACATAAAAAATGGATCACACGTCGCCATGTAACATTTTACAAGCAATATCATTCAATACTCCTCAAGTACCATTGAGCTCCTGGGAAAGAGCCATAAAGTGTAACAATACTCGAAATTGTAACATTCGATGGAAAACATTATTGCTTGATAAACTCGATTATAGAATAAATAATCAATGAAGCAAAAACACCAACTCAATAATAAATAAGTTTGAATTTAAAAAAGAAAAAGAAAAGTATGAGAGGATGACTAAGGGTGCTAAGTGCTAACCCAAAGAACTAAAACAGAAAAAAATTACATAAGACAATGTCATCTACAAGTTGCAAAGATTAATTTGCATTCATTAGAATGGAGACATTGTTGGCCCTTACCATAATCCTTTGGTAATTGAAAAACTTTTAGAATTTTTATAACAATTTCTAAGTCAAATCTTTGCTCTCTCAAACATATATAACTTCACTATTCTCCCAGCACACACCTTCACTCATGCCCAACAAAATTATTCTTACCATATTCAATAATGTTTTTTCAAGGTAAATAAAAAACAAATATAACTCCATAGTCCATACCTCGATATTTATGCTTCTACACTATCAAACTAAGACAAAAAAATAGCCTCAATTACTAATTGGTGTCATCAAACTCTAGTAATATTGTTCATGACTCCTAAGTGCTATTTCACTCTAATCAATTAATCAAAATTTTGGTGGAATGTTTGTGAATGTAAGTAAGTATGGAGATCATCTGAATTTTAAGGATTTTAGCGAAAGGACTATAAGCCATGTTGCAATGCTAGTGAATGTCTTACATAACTTTCCAAGGCTCAACTCCTTTAGCTGATTGAAAAACAAAACTTTAAACAGAAAAAATGGATCGCACATCGGCATGTAACATTTTACAAGAAAGATCATTCAATACTCCTCAAGTACCACTGACCTCCTGGGAAAGTGCCAGAAAGTGTAACAATACTCAAAATTATAACATTCAATGGAAATCAATATTGCTTGATAAACTCGTTTATAGAATAAATGATCAATGAAGCAAAAACATCAACTCAGTACTAAATAAGTTTGACTTAAAGAAAAAAAAGAAAAAGAAAAAGCAGGAGAGGATGACTAAGGGTGTTGACCCACTGTAGAAAACACACTACGTAAAATTACATTATCCCCCCCCCCCCCCCCAAAAAAAAAAAAAAAAAACAAACATTTAATCTTGAACGGGTAGAAAAGAATAGCAATGCTCATCCTTCCCACCCCCTTAAAAGCTGCAAAAACTTCATTTATGATTAAAAGCTAAAATAAAGCATACAACAAAAAGACAACTTCATGGTTTAAAAATGGAGAGAAATTAAAAATAGAACTCAAACCTGTAAATGGCTAGCCACATTTTCCCTAGTTAAACCAGGAACATTCATTAATTCCAGAATTCTCTTTGGGACAGCCTCTGCATGCAATTTATAAAATCCATAATAAGCAAATCATGAAAATATCTCCAGATGAAACCTTCAGTCTTTATGCAAAGACTTAAGTAAAATAAGGAGTACTATTTTATAAGGGATTGAGAGAAAGTGGGGTGTTGTTTAGTCCATACTGTCTATGCCAAGTTGGTTAACAGCATTAACAAATTGCTGATGAAGTTCCACTGACCACACCACTCGTGGTTTCTTTGATGCCGAAGGATCTTCATTTTCCAGCTCACCATCTTCTTCATCGTCTTTAGAATCCCTTTTCTTCTTCGGAGTTTTCCATGAGCCATCTGTTCCTTCATTTACTAAAGAATCATATTCAGCTTCATCACCCACACGTCTCTGGCGGTCAGAATCCTCAAAGCTGCCTGAATGTTCCACATCTTTACTTTCATTCCACTTCTTTCGAACAACATGCTGCCAAATGTTCTTTAACTCTTCTATTCGTACGGGCTTTATTAAATAATCACATGCTCCATGCTTTATTCCTCTCATCACGGCACTAGTTCTCCCATCAGCTGACATCACTGTTAATCAACAATGATAAGAATGCTATATACAAGAAAAGACAGTCATAGGAGAACAAAATAAAAATACTCACTAATAACTGGCAGGTCCATTTCAAGACCAACAAGTTCAAGTAGCTTAAATCCATCCATGTCAGGCATGTGAACGTCACTGATTACCACATCAAAACTACCCTTCCTTTCTCGAAGAAGGGATAATGCTTTCAAGGCTTCAGAACAAGTCGTAACTGCACAATTTTAATATATTTTCAAATTATAAAGGATTCATGAAATCAATCAATAGATGACCTAACCATTCATCAAATCAGAAAAAAAAAAAACGGTTAGAAAAAAAGATAGTGCTCAAAACACATCTTCCAAACACATGCGAGGGTAACAAAGTTAAAACTTGATGGTGATGAGGAAATGATTAAATCTAAGAATCAAAATTATTCACTGACTCAGTCATATCTACATTCATTATTTTCCCAAGCAGTGTCCCTATCACCATAAATAGTAACATCACTCATCAATAAATTATCCATGAATGAAAATAAGTCATATGCAATGCATGTAATTCTTTCTTTCACAACATAAAGCGATGTTCAATTAAGCCTATGGAAGCAAACATTAAGAAGCCAAAAAAGCAAAAAGCTCAAATATAGAGCCCAAAACAGAGCAATGTCAATCCGACAAATGTATAAGCTCTTATTGAAGACTCTTTTGTACGGAATAGTGATGCGTACCTTTTAAATCCATTCAACTAGCATTGGAGCAGCACGAAAATGTAGAATAATAGATGATTCAGACGAAAAGGGGCATCTTGTTAAGTATTATGAGAACTGCAGTCAGGAAGGATAGCCCTTTGCTATCAAAACATGATCAGAAGATAATCATTTGGCTTCTTAAGAAGATGCATGATAAACAAGTCAAGATGATTAGAAAGCAATGTAAAGGAACTCTGAGAGGTCTAAAATGCTGCTGAGAGGAATCTCAAGAGAAGTGATGTGCTCCCGAGGAGATCCGTCGAAACCAAAATGAATTGGTGAGGCTGAGAGGAACTCAAAAAATGTATCAAGAAGACTCTAATCCAATGCCAATGTGACTCTTGTTGTCCACAAACTCAGTGCCTCATAACATAACTTGTAAGTATAATTATGGTTTCCTTCAACAAATTCGACCCCAAATCCTTGTAACAATTGCCTATTACTTGTAGCAAAGATTCCATGTCTATATAAAGGGATGTCATTAAATAAAAAAAGAGTTCTACTCTAAAGAGGTTAGAACTCCTACTGTAGGAAAAGTGTTTTATCCCTAGAGAGATGAGAAGTCCTATTATAGGAGAGGTTCAGGGATCTCAGAGAGAGTTTCAGGGAGCAAGAGGACTTGAGAGAGGGGGGATTCAAAGAAATTTCTTCTTCATCCTCCTCCATAGTTTCTTCTTTAGTGAAACATTTGTTTCTTGCTCTCAAACCAAGAATTAAGATCAAACTTCTATCATGCCTACTCAACAATTTGATTGGATCTCTTTTAGTGCCGTGTGGATGTTTAGAATCAGGATTAGTATTAGAGCTCTAAGTTCAAAAGAACCTTGGAGCATGGTGCTCATGAAAAAGAATTGCAAGAAGATTAAAGAACTGGTCTTTTTCATAGATATTTCAATAAGAAGATGCAGGAAATAATGATGCCAACATCAAAAGGAAAACATTCTAGCAATTTTGCCACGCAAATTGCACACGACACACGTTCGACAACATATGACTATGATGATTAAAATGCTGAGTAAAGAAACCCAATGGTGAATCATGAACCAATCTATAACAAGAATCGATCTGGATGATCTCATCATCATAATAGTGAGAAACTAGTGAATGTTATGGCTACTAAAAATATCACTCGAAAGAAGAAGATGAGGATCTCTAAGGGGGGGCCTATTTTTAGATTAATCTATAGCATGTATTATTATATTTTCAATAAGTTTTCCAAAATGATTCATTAGTGAGAAAGTAGTCTTGTGAATTTATTCTGGCATTAAAACGTGAAGCAATAAACTAATGTGCATTAATAGTTGAAATCTATGTTTGCACATACATTTCCATATGAAAAAGTTATCAGATTTTATTTTCTTGTTTATCATTAGTAAAAGAAAATAAAAGGTATATCAAAAGCGAACTGGTCAAGAAGAAGTCCATTTTTTGTAAATCAATGGGAAGAATCAGATCTCACAACAAGAGCTCTGGAAATGGTAGGGAGAAAGTTCCACGCGCAATACTGGCAACTCAAAACCAGATGCAGATACATTGTTCACTTAGCTTACAACCCAACCTGGCAAAGAAAACCAATCAATAAAAAGCAGAAAGTCCCAGGCCTCACATGAAAGAACTAATCCTTTTTACCAAGGGCAGATTTAAGGGACACCAAAATTTTAATATTTTTAAATAAAATAGATAAATATTAATATGACTGAATTACCTGATTTTTCCAATAGTAAAAATTTAATTTGTACCTTCTAAAAATAATAAAATCAGTTTGCGTCCTGTTAAAAAATTTATGGCTCCGTATTCTCCCCCTCACTCATGATTTGGTCTTATTTCGTCACAGTCAGCAGAACCGCCTTTCAAAAGCTGTTTCCTACTCTATTCAGCTTAACAGTAGTTCGGCAGCTCAACAAAATACCCAGCATCTATCACCCTCCCTCAATCCAGCAAGGAACTAAGCAAAACAGTACAAGCACAACCCAGAAAACCAAGTCAAGTCCCGACTCACCATGGTACCGGCATTTCTGGAGCATGTGCTCGAGGATCTTCAGACACGTGACGTCATCATCCACGACGAGGACCCTGAGCCCCGCCGGGAACAGCTCCGGAGCCACTAACGCCGTTGACTCGCCGGCGTCCACTCGGCACGAGCTGTAGCTGCCCCCCGCGTTCGCGTTCTGGACCGACAGCTTCTGAATCGCCGCCATCGCACCATGCAAATCTCTACTCCCTCACCACACAGACTAAACGAATCATCCAGCCGGCGAAATTCGCGCTGCGTCGTGCAATTGGCAGCGGATCTGATGCCCTAAGGAGATTTCCAGCTAGATTCTTCGATGATTTGGAGAAGAAGAAGAGAGACAAAGCGTTACGACTCGTAGGAAGGGGAAAAGGAAGCAAAGGTAGGGAGATTGCGGCAGTGGGGAGGTGAAGAAAAGACAGCAATAAATTTTTATTTTTAAATGATTTTAATAATTGATATTATTGCTTGATATGGGAATGAGGAGTGGGGGGCCACGCGGCGGTGCGCGTGCGAGCTTGGGCTCGTTTTATGCGGCCGAGGCGACCAATCGGGGCCATGAAGGAAACCCAGCACGCTACCACACGCGCGGGCATACATTCTTCTCAAAAAAGTACTTAGAAGCTCCAATACTACACAAAAATGAGATTTCTGAGCCAGCCTATTTATGGCCATTGGATTAGCTAAAATATTCGTATATGAATTAGAACTATTATGCTTTCGCTGTAAATTGTTGGACGTGATTACAGGCTGATGAGATTTATTATTATATTTTATTTATTTAGCTAAAAAAAGTATTCTTGCAAATTTAATTATTTTATTTATTTGAACTTCCTTTTTTACTTTCTTGTTAATTTTATTTTTGTTTATTATTACTAAGAGTAAAAATAATATTCTAATATCTCATCTAATTAATTTATATTTTGATAATATTGTAAAATATTTAAAATAAAATTGAAAGTAATTTTTAAAACTTTAAATTAATAAGTATGAATTATCCTCAACTTCTTTCATCCAAGAACAGGATTAGCATTGTCATTTAAAAAAAGAAAATTTAGAAGTGTCAATAATTCGTTGATCACAAAATCATTTAGATTTGGAATAATTATTTCATGTTGATCACAAAATAAAATTATTTATTAATGAAGTCATTTTTTAATTGAGTCGAGTCGTGTTAGATCTAACGGAATTAAATTGAATTACATCGTCTCATTGTAAGCCAAATCAAATCAACTCAAGCCAAAAATTAAATCGAAACACACCAATTCAAATCAGACCTCATCAATATAAACAAATCAGATTAAAGCTTCATTTGGGACAGCTTTTTTTGTTGTTTTGTAAAACAATCTCTTAGTACCAAAAAAAATTTTTTTGAATTAAAAATTTTGGTACTAAAAAAGTCATTTTAGAAAGCAACAAGAAACTGTCTCAAACGAAACCTGTCAAGTCATGTCAAGCTAATTTCAACTATATCAACTCAAATTCATTCAAATTAATTTCAAATTTAACTCAAAAAAACTTAATTCAAGACGTTTGGGTGATTTATATTTTTCTAGATTTATTGAACTTTTATCACACAACTTTTTTGTATTTTGTCGTAATGATTATCTAGGGTATTTTGATTATAACATTTTTTTAATTTTATCAGGTAAAATAAAGTTATTATATTTTGTATTGTTTCTACTTATTACATAATTGATATTTTTAATGTAAGCATATTGTTAATACAAACATTAGAAATGAATATGAGTATGTGGTTGACTGATAGTTGGTCGTTATTGTTATTATAGTACTGTGATAATAATATGTGTGATAATAAGTAAAAGTTGATTTTATTGGCGTTGATTGTAGACTAACTGACTTATACAAAATGGTGGACCGATAGGGTTTTCTTTAAATAATGTAATTTGATGTTATATTTTACTGATTCGCGTGATACTGATTGAGAGTTATAGAGAGTTATTATTGTGCATACGAGGAAAGAGTGACGACTCTATTTTTTGAGACAATGAAATATAAATATGAACTATTAACTAGAAAAATACCTACCAATTTCATAAAAACAACCTCATCATTCACGCTAGGCCCCAACTCAAAAGAACTTGCTTAAGACATTCACATTGGACAATTTCAGGAGACACTCGCTAGATGTACTCAAAGCACTCATGAAGAGCACCCGCCATAAAATACTCGCTAGTGGAAGTTAGTTACATGCCAAAGATGGCTAGTTGCATGTCATCACACAATCATGTTCATATGTCTATAACAATCAAATCATGTATTATTTATTATTTCACTAGGTGCATCTTCTCATGTTATTTTTCGAATCCTATAAATAAGGAGATTGAATGCATTTTTGAAATATTACTGCTATTTTTTTGCTATTCATCAAGATTAGTGGGCTACAAAGCTCTTCTCCTTACACGCCCAATCATTCTCCTCATTCTCTTATCCTGGCCTAACTTCTCTCCACCACGATCACTATACCACTCACAAACAAATATGAATCAAAGATCATAAAAAATACAAAAAAAAGAAACAAATGAGCCCTTAATCAAAATAATAGATTATAGTAAGAAACATATCATGCTTCCTTCCTTTATTTTATTTTTCTTTTCTATTTTCTTTATTAGATCAAAATATATTGACCTAATTTTTGCTAAATAAACTAAAATAATAATTCATATCAAACTTTTCTCCTAATCATATTCAAATATTTCAACATTTTGGTATTTTATCATATATTTTATATCAAATATGTTCATTATTTCTTGAATTTATTTAAAAATTAACTAATATAATCATAATAACTTGATATCATTTAAACATAAAAAAACCAAATATTTTTTTTAATATATTCCAATTAAAATTAAATCAGAATATTCCTATATAATATATATATTTTTTATTCTTTCACTTCCCATGCCTACTTAATTACTTAGCACACATATATGGCATGTTGATCATATCCTTTCTTGGTTACAGAAATTTATATTTATTTACTTATTTTTTTTTAAATATCCTCACCATGTGCTTAAAAACTATAATATTTAAGATAGCTTTTGAGTGGATGGAGTGGAGCTTTCCAGCTTGAAGGTCCTGTTTCTTCTCTTGTGTAAATTATTGAACAGATTTACTTAGTAACTGGCAAAAGTGCTCTCACTGACCCTTTTTTGCTTGTTTATTTAATTCCTGGCAACTATCCTGTTGTTTTCCAATTGGTTGCATATGAGACCCAGGTTGAGGATATAATTAATTATTGCATGCATGTCCTACCAGTTTAATTTCATTTAATGCTTTGTAAATTTGTAATTTTTTTGGTATGTTTTTGCAATATATAATTAGTCCTTTTAATAATATTTGTATTAGGTTTTTATTTATTATGTAATATTATATGATAAATGTTAAATAAAAAAGTGTTGCACAAATTAATGTAAAATTATGAATTTTGAGTGTAATGTTGATATTATTTTATTTAGTTATTGCATATTATATGATAAATAATGAATAAATAAGTTTCACATAGCTTTCAAATTATTAGATTTAAAATTTTGAAGAGTTAAATTTGTTTTTATTTTTTTATTTTTAGGATTTTGAGAGGAATGAAAATAAAAGCATTTTCATGTTAAATTTATGTTAGATGGCTATGAAGTTATTATAGAGAAAATAAATTTGATACTATGGTTCAAGAAAGCAGTTTTTAAAACAGAAATTTTTGAAAAATAATGAGAAATTAGCACAAAAATAGTACGCAAATGAAAATGTGGTTGTTATCTTAAAAACAAAATAGTCATAAAGCGGTTCCAAAAATGAAAAATTATTAAGTGTGGACATTGGACCATTCAGATGTGAATTAAAGCGTGTCACGTCATCTAATACACAGTAGGTACACAGCAAAGAGGTGACATAGCGTGCTCTGATTCGCCTCCGGACGGCATTCGTATTCGCACAGAATAATTTCATCCCAAAAAGACCCTTAATTTGGTTACATGCATGATCTCTAGATATGCATCATGCCTCAAAAGCCATGTTCGGTTCAACAAGTTTTACTATCCCAAAATCATTAAACCATTATTAAATTTCATATTATAAACTTTTTACTTTGAAAATAATTATATCATTTTTTTATATATTTGAAATGGAATAAAGACACTTTTAAGATAAAAAAGTTTTGAAAATTGTTTAATATTAAGAGCCTGAAAGCTACCAAAGCTTATGTTTTTTAATATAGATTTTTTTTTTTCAATTTATTTGAATCCAATAACTTCATATTGAGTTGGTTGGTCAGAAGGATATTATAAGAAATATTTTGTGGATATATTTATTGAGAATATTATAAAAATAAATAAACTAAATTAGATATATTTTTTGGACATTTGAACTTAAAGAATAAAATTTATATCAAAATATTTCTGAAATAAATTTAAATTGTGATAATAAAAAAATGTCATTTATTTACTAAATTTGTGCTTCAATGCATGAGCAATAATTGAGACCACTATATAAGATGAAGCAAGGTGGGGTAGAAGCTTTATGAAAATGTTGTTCTTGATGTCTATACTCTATAGCTTAAAATTTATATGGCTAATAATTTGTTGTGAGTAACTTAGTGCAAAATTTTTCATTTTTATTTTTTAATTAGTATTTTTTAAAATATTTAGTATTAAAATGTAAATTTAACGTAGAAGATAGCCGATCTCAAAATAATAATAATAAAAATTTTAAATTATATAAACTAAAGTAGTTAACATTATTGAATAAAAACTATTTGCTTGGAATTCCAAATGCAAGCACATGCATCTAGTTTGCTTATTAAACATTTGTCCTATGACCTTTCCCTTCTCCCAATTAAAGGAACTCCTTCACAATGAACTTATATTTTACTCAATAATTGCTTGATTATAACTCAATCATTAAGCAAATTAAATTTAATTAAGATTTGCCAGTTCATTTGTTTAAGGATTCAAAGGCAAATTAAAACCAGATAAAAGCTTTAAGAAGAGACTAACAACTTTGGTCTTCATGCTTCTTATATTTTTATACATTCAAATGTTTGAATAATTCAGATTTAGATTAGTCTTAAATATTTAAATATGGCATTGACATTTTATAAAATGGGATTAGCTATTTTAAATATGTGAGTGATATACGATGGGTCAATTATATTGCATGCATAACACTCAAATTTTAATTATTTATAAAATTATCATCTTCCTATCACTATTTTTAAAATTGGTACTTAAATATCAAAATTCATAATAAAATCACAAATTGTACTTATCTTTTATTTCTAGCAATTTCTTAATTGTTTGATGGTGGTATGCACAAATGTGTGTATATATCTCAATTAACAAAGCTATTGAAAGAGAGGGACACTATAAGAATTAAGTTGGCACTGAATTTAGTTAAAATAAGAC